GGGAGGACAATGGCAACATGCTGGTCCGGAAATGCCACCCTCGCCTATCCTGAAGATATGCGGCCCACTGACAAAGTTCGCTTTCTTAGTGTGCCCATATCCCAGGTAGGCCTTCTCGGCAACATCGCCGGAGACTTTACCAAACAGTCCTCAATATTGAGAGATCAGTTGTGGGCGATGGAGCAGGTCATGTCTTGGTAGGCTCGAAAAACTGCTCTCCCTATCAGACCTGTCTGCGCTGACGTTCCTCGCCGAGTGCGTTCTTCCTGAAGCTCCAAAATGCTCTGCCGTCACAGTCCGTTCCACTGACTAAGTGTACGCGCCGAGCTCCTTCGCAGGGAGTTGATGCTCCCGTAACAGGTTGCCATTAAGTCCAGCAATCGGACTGCAAAGAAAACCTGAGGTGGGCCGCTTGGAGAGGATGAGAACCGTTTTTTCCCCGGTGGAGGCTGGAGCTCCCCCCCAAATTTATGTAGCAATCCTTAAAGAGCGGCTTTTCCTCCCTCTGGGCGTGAAAGCTCAATTGCTGCCAGCATGAGATGCACTGCCTCCCAGCTCTCAGCTTTGGTGCATTTCGCCACAGGGCGCCAGGGGATGAGATCCTTTTTTCGCGCCTCCAACCACTCCACGGGATCCTGGGAGGAAGGTAAGAGTCAATCTCTTCATTTCACCTCTTCCTCAGGTCACTCTGCTTCCCGGGATGAGCACTCCCCATTCCGAAGCTGCCCCTCTGACTGGTACGTCAGCGATCAATCCGGTGATGCAGCTAATAGGACTCTGTCAGCCTGGTTAGCGCGGCTCGGCTTGATATAGTAGCTCACGTGGGCGGTCAGACTTCGCTTCAATTCGCTTTGGCCACCCGAGTTCACGGGTGTGTAGTTAAGCGACTATTCGATATGCCACCCCATCTCGAGTGAGAACATTGTTATCCTCCTGGCGAAGGATATAATCAAGCAAGCCCTCCAACCGAGATGAAGAGTGGGTTTACATCCCATTCATCGTATCCAGAGAGCGGCGGGTTATACCAATCCTATCTGCGCGTTTTGATCTGTCATCTGTTCAGGATGACGATCGAGACGCTCATGCAGAAATGCATCCCCCAGTGCGTCCGTCTGTGGGATTAGTTACAGCTATAGACCTGAAGGATGCTCACTCAATGTCTCGCTCTTTCCCTCCCTATACTGTGATTTTTCCAGAGTGCGACGGGGAGCCGAGCATGGTAGGAAAAGTCCTCCGATTTGGGCTCTCCCTGTTTCCATGCGTGGAGGATGCCCTGTGCTTCTTGGAGCATGCGCATCCGCGTTCTTGATTCTTCATTGACTGTTAATATTTTACGTCTCTGGACTAATCTATTATGCACAGGGACCTGGGGCTCCGGCACCTTGGCCTATGTGGGTTTTGCTTCACCGGGTGTACGTCATCACGCTGGGTCTCCGCACCTTCAGCCCCTGGATGGATCTTGCCTTCTACAGGCCTGAGTGCCCTTAGAACAAATGTCCAGTTATGCTGTCATGGCTGTCAGGGCTGACAGGCTATGTGTATCGAGCATGCAGCTGCAGGTTTGCAACTGGACCCCAGTTGCATTGGCATTTCAACTGCCTGGAGCTGTTGGCATTGTTTCTCGCTCTCCGCCAGTCCCTACCGAAGTGGGAGAGGGAAGCACATGTTGTTTAGGATGACCAGCACGGCTGCGATAGTGTACATCAGCTGTTTTGGCTGGTATGCGTTACTGCAACATCTCTCAGTTAGCTTGCCATCTGCTGCTCCAGAGTCTTCCGGCTAAAAAGCTGTGCGCTGTTCATATCCCGTACAAACTCTTCATGCCGGCTTACATGCTCTTTTAGGATTGTTATGTTTCCGGGAGAACGTAGACTCCACTCCGGTACGTTCCAGCTGTTATGGCATGCTTCAGAGAAGCCCAGTTCATCCTGCTGTTTCTCCCGAGCGGCCCTTCGCTGGCTGCTTTCTCTGCTCTGCACAAAACTGGCTCTCAGCTGGCCTCGGGTTACGCAGCATGTGTCTTTCCCCAGTGAGCCTGCTCACACAGACACTGTGCAAGATCGAGGAGAAGAAGAGAGGGTCTTGCTCGTTGCGCCTCTCTGGCCCAACCGGAACCGAGTTTCCAGACTCACACTACTCATGATGGCACTACCTGATAATTCCCCCGGAAAAAACACTTCCATTTTTCAGGGACGGGCACCCATCTGGCCCCGTGCAGGGCTCTGAAACCTCATTGGACGGTTTCTAGACAGAGGGCGGTGGACTTTGGTGACCTATCAGTGGTTAACACCGTCACTCAGAAATAGTGCTCCCTATTAGGCATGCATATGTTCTGCAGTGAAGTCTATTCATTGTGTGTTAATTCTCTCTGAGAAAACCCCCGGACATGCCAGATTAGTGTTGTGTTTTCTTTCTTCAGGCTAGCTGGAGCGCAGGCTGTCTCCCTCCACACTGAAGGTTTGGCGTGCGATCATCCCTATTCTCTCTGGGGATGGAAGCGTGCTGGGAAGGCATAACCTCATGAGCCGATTTCTCAAAGGCACGTGGCACGAGATGGCTAATTTTATTCCCGCCCCCTCTCTTGCCCTCTTGGGATCTCTAGCTCCAGCGGTTATAATTAGATCCATTGAGCCACTCAATCAGTATCTATAAGTTTCTGTCTTTAGGCAGTTCTGCTGATCATGCTGGTATCAGGAGGGTTAGGATTCCGGTGGCATTTTCCGTCAGCAAATTGTGCCAGTAATTCGGACCGACCTACTCTCACGTTTACCTGAGACCTCGATTCATCTTGCGCCAAGGCTCCTACCACCCCCCTCTTTTTTAATGTGAGGTGGTAACCCTGCAATCGCTGCCTGAGGAGGAGGCAGACCCAGCCTTTTTTATTGCTATGCTTAACCTGACACAAAGCATATGCAGCTTTTTTCTGTTATGATTAGAAGAAGGGAAGTATCAAAATAGAGGTTGGTTCATGTGTTAGGGTGAGCTGTGTCCCCGAAGGGAGAGCACACTTATAATTAATACTATGATATATAAGCAGTGCCTCCTTTTCGGCGCAAACCCTAGAGAATTCCTTTGAAGCCTCCAGCACCTGACTCAGCGGAGGAGTCGAGTGCATGGCTCAGTGTGTTGTCTGGTGTGCCCATCTAGTCTACCCACATACTGAGGTTTGGTGCCAGCTATGTGCATTCCCCTGTTCTTGGTGATGCCATTCTCAATATTTTTTCCACAGTGTGTTCCCCCTTATTAGACGGCCCCGTGTCTTCCCTAAACCGCTAACTAGCTTATCATATGTAGCTCTCCCTCTCATTAGGGCTAGTCCATAAGTCTCTCTTTACCATCAGGTCTCCCCTTCTGGGTAGCAGGTGGTCTCCGCTGCATCCTCTACCTTCGGGGACTGGCACGCTTTCTCAACATACTGTCGTATTTCCAAAAATCCCTTGTCTATATTGGATAGGTAAAAGCACACTTACGACCCCCAATAAAACATTAAACATTTTATTCCCATGTAATGGTAATATGTTGGGCCTAGAGGACGTTGGAAGGTTGCGCTCTTGGTGATGTCAGAGCGCTCACGATTTGGCTTGGCAAACTACACATCAGGTGTGTGACGGGCTTGGCTGCTGTCTCGCTTTCCATCAGGGTTGGGGGACTCGAGTCATATGACTTGACTTGTGTCAGACTTAAGTCACAAAATTAAGGACTTGAGACTTACTTGACAAACATCCAAAAAAGACTTGACTTGACTTGGCTGTCATGACTTGAGACTTCACTTGGACCTGAGTTAAATGACTCGGAAAAAAACTTGTTTTTGTTAAATGCACAACCGTTTGTTATAAATTATGCATTTGAAAACAAAACAAAACCAAAAGCTATAAGTCACGCATGCGCAGTATAAACTGGATCTGGACTGGATCATATGGTTCAGAGGAACTGTTTTAATGATTCATTAGATTCATTTAAACAATTCATCTGAATGATTCATTTGCTACTCGGCCATCAGATAATGCGGTGATAAAAAATGGAAGGCGCTCCATCAAAGATCATCTATTTTACGAGTTTAAAGATCACAAACAAGACGGCTAATCAGAGTTTAAACTATTTTGTCTGACTCAATGCTTGCCACACATACTATACTTAACTTGGCGGGCCGTCTAAGTATATTTAGTGACATGTTTTTTTTTTTACAGTGATTCTTCTACACTGATTTGTATCCGTCTAATTTAACCAAACATCCAAAGTTCACAGGGCTGTGTTCTCTGGACTCCTCATGTGGTGGACTTCTACATTTGATTGGTTGCCGCTGAACTGCGTCAAAGCTCATTACCATAAAGTTGACTTAATTTTAACTCTCTTCGACGCCCACACAGGGGAAGACAGCTTACATTGAAAATGAATGACTTCAGGCTACTTTGGCGCTCTTGTCGCTTTCGGTCTGAACGCACAGTTAGTGTAAGTTAACGCATTTTTGCAGTATTTGCACACAGTTTGTGTTGTCCAGCCCCACCTCTTGCTTAACACTGGTGTGCACGTAAAGCGAGTTTGCACCTGTAAATACAGTACCCCTATGTTCAAAACATGTATCATGATTCATTCAACATTTCTACCAATTTGAATAGCCATCTGTTTGAACAGATTGTCAACCGGTTCACTGTCAATTGTTACACATATCTGACCCCATTCCATGAATTCACAATGACAACACAAAAATTTATCAGGCTCTAGATGTAAATAAAATAATAATAAAAACAAACAACATTTAGAAAATAAATTTTTACACACAAATTGCCCCTCGGCTAACCTTAACCTTGATTTAAAAAAAATCAATCTTTTATTTACTACACTGAAGAAATGGGGGCAATATTGCAGCCTCAAATGCCTAACATTTTGTAAATTCATAACAATATCCACCAAAACATAAGTGTAAAACATTAATATGCCGTGAATATAAATGATTGGATCGCTGGGGGTTAAATGAACAAAGTAGCTGTAGATTGTCTTACCTGAGCTGTGAGATAAAGGGCAGACACTGGAGGAAACTTCTCAATTCACTCTCTTCATCTGAAAATTCTCTCAGCTCTACTGGTTTCTTCTCTGTTTGGAGTTTCAGTACTTCCAGGAGGACAGAGGTCTTTCTCTCTGAGAGATCTATGATCCAGACATCAGGAGACTGGAAAACTGACTGTAATGCTGGAAGGAAACTTCTGCCTGTTTTAGTCTTATAGTTCTTCACATGTGAGTAAAGATCCAGCAGGAAATCACTCTGTTTAATTCTGTCAGTCAATTGATAAGGAAAGGAGCTGTATGTGCAGACTGATGATAATTGTTTCAGCATCTGCTCTGTCTTAATCTCTGCTGCTTTCATGAAGAGTCTTAAAAGAAACTGCACTACATGACTACTACTCCAACAGTCAATCCTGTTATCAAATAATAAAACATCAGTATAAACAGACACATCACAGAACTCTTACTGTTTCTTACATCAGTATACATACAGTGAAGCAAGGTTATAATAGTTTTGGATTTTTCATTAGTTTTAGTTTCTATTTCGTTTTGACTTTTTGTTTTTAAATTCAGTTAGTTTTTATTAGTTTTAGTGGCAGATTTTCCTAATTTTTATTAGTTTCTTTCTTTTAAAATGTCTTAGTTTTAGTTTAGTTTTTATTAGTTTCAATATTAGTTTCAGTTTTTTTAAATGAGGATATTTGCTAGGTACAAGATTCAAAATCAACAGGATAAATATTGGATATTTAAAAACGCAGTCATACATTTTTTGAAACATGTATTCACAGAACACATGAACACTATCATCTACCACAACCATCTACCCATCCTCAAATTCAAATACAACAGCCCCCAAGATAGCAGCCCTAAGTACAATATCTGTTGCAACTACAGTTCAGTAATACAGCAGGTTGTACTGTTTGTGTTTGGTTCACTAAATCACGCATGCGCAGTATTATCGGTTCAACGCCTCTTAATGTAACGTTGCTGTTCTAATAACTGAATGAGAGCATATATTGGATTATTTACATATAATTTATACATACATTTATAACATACATTTATAAAGTAAGAAGTGAGTGGATAAGTGCTTACTGGAGACGTGAAGCGTTTCAAATGATTCAGTTCGATTTGGTGAACTTGTTCAACCGGTTCACTTAGAATATCCGGTTAAAAAGATTCGTTCGCGATCGTGTTACAGAAATAAAACCATTATTGGGCACAAATGTGTTAAAGTAATAGATTTAAGGCTATGTATTTAATGCTGTCACCATGCTGCTGTCATGTCTACACGTTGTTTTTGTCGCGGGAGCAACAGAGAGGATGACTAGAGAAGAACCGGTTCGATCCGGCCAATGGCAGCAGGAGACCCTGAGGTGCGAAAAGGTCAAACACAAACACCTGCAGCACGGATTATATTTACTTCTTAAAGGCTTACAGTAAGATTATGTATTAAATACATTTCCAAATATGAAAATGAAGGAGGTTTTTGCTATAATTCTAGTTAGTTTCAGTTAGTTTTGTATGTACACAATACAGTTTCAGTTAGTTCTAGTGTTTGAAAAAACTTGTTTTTATTTTTATTTCAGTTAACGACAATTATTTTACATTTTTGTTATCATTTTTTAATTCGTTTTCGTTAACTATAATTACCTTGCAGTGAAGTGATATTAAATGAGAAGTAGGCAATTAAAATGAATATCCAAAAGTTCAGTACCTGAGCTGTGAGATGAAGGGCAGACACTGGAGGAATCTCCTCACTTCACTCTCTTCCTCTGAGCATCCTCTCAGCTCTACTGGTTTCTTCTCTATTTGGAGTTTCAGCACTTCCAGAAGGATGGTGGTCTTTCTCTTTGAGAGATCTATGATCCAAACATCAGGAATCTGGAAAACTGACTGCAATGCTGGAAGGAATCTCCTGCATGTTTGAGTCTCAACGTCCTTCAAATGTACACAAAGATCCAGCAGGAAATTACTCTGAATAAGATCATTATTGCACTCTTCAAGAGGAAATCCTTTATAACTGCACACAGACGACAGCAGATTTAAGAAACTTGTTCCTTTGTCTGTGTCATTTTCTACTGCAGCAGGAATGAGATTCATCAGGAATCTTTTTCCTTTATCACCCATCTGCCAAAACCTGACCAAAAAATAAACCGCTCAATTGAGACAACATGCATATAATTGACATTTACACAAATTAAATAAATTATATTTAATTTTACCAAATTGAACTAAACAAAATTTTACAAAACAGATTATACTCTACAAATATAAATCAAAATCAGAAAAACTGCTTTTTGATGCAACCTTGAGAATTATTATACAGCAGACAATAAACACTACATATATTACATTAACTAATACTACCTACTACAAACAAATCATAGATGTAGATAAATGAATATACTGAAGTTCAGTACCTGAGCTGTGAGATGAAGGGCAGACACTGGAGGAAACTCCTCACTTCACTCTCTTCTTCTGAACATCCTCTCAGCTCTACTGGTTTCTTCTCTGTTTGGAGTTTCAGCACTTCCAGAAGGAGAGAGGTCTTTCTCTCTGAGAGATCTATGATCCAGACATCAGGAGTCTGGAAAACTAACTGTAATGCTGGTAGGAATCTCCTGCCTGTTTGAGTCTCGTAGTTCTTCACATGTGAGCAAAGATCCAGCAGTGCCTTGCATATGTCGCAGTTGTTTTCATTTCTCACACAAGAAAAAGTGCAACAGCACTGAGATGCTTTATGGAAGAATTCTAGTAGGATTGCGATTTGTTTTAGGGGCTCTTCATGAAGCTTTAACCTAAAAACATAAATAAAATATACTGAGAAGTAATAACTTTTGATTTTATTATTGACCTTATTCTCCACAGACGAGCGGGCGCTGCCATTTGAATCTTTTTGGCACGAGACTTCCGGTCTCATTCACTTCCATTCATTTTTAGACATTAAAAACTGCTCGTTTCGCTGTTTGATGTTGCAAACTGACATTTCCTTGTTATATTATTTTACTTGGTCTGTATAGTCATGCAAACATTAGTTTGTAGAGCAAGTAGTTTGACCGTTTTTTGCCATTTATTATTCCTTGTCATTTCTCCCATAGGCGACTGAAACGGAAGTTTTAAGACAATTTTCGTCTCCAATTTTGATCCCACTATTAAAATTAGCTGACAAAAGCTCTAAATTATCCAGATTTCTCCACAATTAAAGCTGAAAGGTGCTAACATTGTCTTAATTGATGCTCAACACACACAAATCTGTTAAAATCTCAAAAAAGTACTTCAAGGTGTCTTGAACCTTTAAAGGTGTAAACCTATTCAGTTAAAAATCGAGATGTATCATGATGCATTGACAATGCTGAAGATCCTGCTACAGAATGTTCACGTCACTAGTTCTCATGACCAGTTGCTGTTTAATTTATCAAGTACTGTTATCTGAAGGGACTATCTTGGCTAGAGCTCACAGTTTGGGATAACATTCCACTTTTTACTTTCATTACTATAGTGTGAACATGTCACTTCTGACACCTCTGTAAAAATCTCAATGAACCGCATATGAAATTTCTATAAAATACAATGTGACATTCCCTATGTCAGACTCGGACGACTGCAAGACAACCAGCAATTTCTCAATTTAGAATCCAGATGTGCAGATGTGAAGATGTGCTGTGGTCTCTCCCTTGACAAAGAAAAATTTCACTTTTGAACCACTAAAGGCATTTGGGGCCTAATGGTCAATTAGTTGGACTCATAAGTCAAAGGTTACAAAAACCAGGAATTGAAGGTGCAGGAAGTAATTAATTGCTTCCCTGGCGCTGAAAGCAATAGCTGCCCACAGCACCAGATGTATGCTCACTGTGTGTGGGTGTGTGTGTGTGCACTTGGATGTGTTAAAAACAGAGGACCATTATTAATTATGGATAAAACCATTATTGAAAAAGCTCACTTTTATATGGTCTATTTTGAAAACTTTATTTTAAGGGGAGTATTTTACAGGACTTTGTATGAGTCTGGAACTTTGCTTTAATGTAACTTGGAGGGTCAGAGAGGTCTCAGATCTGCTAATCTCTTGTACCTGATGTTTGGTGAGCAGCTGAGCATCATGTCCATTCCCGTGTCCATAATGTCACAGTTCTCAAGTTTCACATAAACCTCTTTATCTCTGGATTGAGCAATAATGTAAGCCAAAGCACAATGCTGATGAGGATCAAGATCCACTTCAGGCTCAATCTGATGGTTCATCTTCTCCAGGAACATTAAACAAGCTTTAGGAGACTGGAGCTCATATAAACACTGACACATATAGAGAAGATCAAACTGTTCACTGTGACTTTGAGACTCTGAGGCTCCGAAGAAACTGTTTAAAAACTTCTCAATGAACCAGTCATGTGTTTTCTTCATCTGATCCTCTGGAAAGAGACTCTTGAGTAGTTTGGTGTTGTGTTCGCTCAGAAGTCCACATAAGAAAGGGAGCACGTGTCTCATGTGTTTGTGCTCCTTCGTCTGACTGAGCTGTAGGACATTCTCAATATTTTCTGGGTTTTCAAGAAGCCACAAAGCTGAGAAGAACTCCTGCATTGTGTTGTGGAGAAATGCACAGTATGTTTTACCAGACGTAGCCGAGTCTCTTGTCGTGATAATTTTCAGAAAAGCATGACAAATGTCTGTCTCATCACAGTTTATTAAGTTTAGGTTTTTCTGCATAGTAGCATTGTATGCCTTTTCCATCAAGGGTTGAATCTGATCTTTGATCTCTCCAAGGTATTTATCTGTTTGGTAATACTTTCTCTTCCCATGTCTTTCCACAGCAAGACGGAAAATGTGAATGTACATATATGTGACCGTGTGTAGACTGTTTTTACCTTTGTTCTGTTTAAATGGAGTGATGGCAGCAGCTATAAATGCATACATTGGCACGTGGCTGAGACTGAGCAACTCTTGATTCTTCAAAATGATATTTAGAAGATCAGAATTAGAACCCAACATCTTCTGATAGTAAGCCTGAATAGACTTATCACTGAATCCTTGGACATACACTTTCTGAGTTGGCCAGTCTGAGAAAAGGGGATCATCTTCCACCTCTGATCTGCAAGTGATCACAATCTTAGCATCGGGCAGGAGCTCTTGGTGCATGATCTTCCATAAGATGGAATTTTCTTCCAAATCTGTCACACCATCGAATGCAATGACAACATTCTCAGAGTTTTCCTCAATATCTTTAAACACTTCCTTTCTATCTTTTTCCATGGGTTTCAAATACACATCAAATAAAACTGATTCCAAACTGCCAATGTTAGAACTGTGGCTCAAAGAACTTTCACTAAAGTAAAACATGTAGTCCAGACCTTTGCCACTCTTCTCTGCCCACAGACGCAACATTTCCTGGACAACTGTAGTCTTTCCTATCCCTGGTTTGCCTATGAGGAGGATCTTCTTGTCCTGACCTCTCAGAAGATCCAGAGGTGATAGTGAGTGTTCCTCTTTAGGAATGTAAGCTCTCAGCTTTTTGTTTCGCAGTTTTTTGCATTTTTGGATTTTTGATTGTATTTTTCTTTGGGGAGCTTTTTCCTCAGAGTCTGTTTCTAAAACAAGAGGTATAAATTGGAAGCTCACTTGTGCCTTTTCTAGATATTTACGACAACTTTGCCTTTGGTCCTTCAAAATACTTTTTGCTTTCTTCCTGAGCTGTGCTTGGTAGTTCTGACAGGGCTTTGTGTCTACTGTAAAATAAAAACATGTATTATTCAAAAGTTTTCATTTGTATTTTTACTCAAATTATTTCATTCATCTACTCACCAAATACATAGGTGGTGTCTACATCTTCCGATCTGACAGGAAAACAGGTGATCCAGGAGTGTAACTCAGGAGATAAGGTTCTCTTCTGAGTGGCATCTAGAATGCTGAGTAATTCATAACTTGCTTCTTCCCCTTTGTTAACAACCCAGTCCATTATACTTCTTGCTTTATCAAACTCTGTCCTCTCTGCTTTAAGAGCATCAACTTCATGTTCACTGAAAACCTTTCGCTGATAAAGATTCTCAACAATCAGAGGAAGGTTTCTCATTCCTATCACCAGTTTTCTTCTGGCACTTTTGAGGTACTGGATTGCAGACTGCTGAGCGCACGCCATACTGAAGGTATTTCAGTCCTGTACATCACATAAAAAAAGAAAAGTAATAAATAATCTATAAAATGGTTAAAACGTGAGAGAGAACAGATAACTAAGCATTACAGATGACTTATCCTCCTAATGCAGGTTGTTCCATAATCGTAGACCAGTAACTAATACGACAATAACCGGTTTTAAGGTTTATCGTGATTTGGAAAAGTCAAGGTTTAACAAAAAGCTAAGATTTTCTGTTATACCATTCCTGCGATATATGCAAGTTTATTATCATTTATTTTGTGTGTGGTTTTTGTGACATTTTATTTAGTTTTTTAGGGAAACAATATCTCCAGCAGCAAAAGAGCATTCACATTAATGCTACTGGTCACATCCACTTATCACATCAAGGCTACTGGTCAGTCTAATTTTCAGCAAACATTTGAAAAACAAATCAATTACATGCCAACATCCAGCATCCTATGACCTAAACCAAAGATGACTTTTCACTAATGAAGATAGCTCAAGTCAATGATTTATTTTTATTATTTGGCTTGATGTTTATTATTTACGGTTCCAAAATATTTGAAACATTTGTAAAAAAAAAATATAATGCTCTATTTTGACGATCTAGGCACAAAGTGCTAAGTCCAAAGTGAAGGGCGCAAAAGCATTAAGGGCGTGTCAAAATCCACTTTGCGCCACGGCGCATGGTCTAACAGGGTTGAACTTATTCTCTTGAGTTATAGGTGTGTTTTGAGAATAAACCAATCAGAGTCTCATCTCCCATTCCCTTTAAGAGTCAGTTGCGTCTTGCCATGGCTATTTACATGGCGGACTTTGTAAGTGGAAAAACTGGGCTCTTCACTAGCGAGAAAACAGTTAAACAGAGCATCTGCAGTGTGAGAATTAGCCTCCTAATTCATTACTTTCACTCTCTTTTGTGGATAAGGAAACGTTTTGCATGCACAGGCATCCATTAGCCTACATAATTAATTTTGTTTGTTAAGCTCAATGATTTGTCTTAAAACTATTTCTGAATTCAGTTCTAATTTCGTGCAAACGAATAAATGAACAATAATAACGAAGTGTGCTCAAAAAAAGAGTTATATCCAAATAAACATGCTGTGCTCCATATGGTCTAAAACCTGACATGTGGGCAAATCTAAGCTTTTGTTTTTAATAAAACAAATATAAATATGCATGTATTAAATAATACTACTACTAATAATAACATAATACAAAAGCAAATTGTCATGAATAAACTGAAAGAGCCCCCTGGGATGAAGAAGGCATGAAAGCAGTTTTTTTTATTTATTCATTCATTAATTTTCTTTTCGGCTTAGTCCCTTTATTAATCTGGGGTCCCACAGCGGAATGAACCGGCAACTTATCCATACACACTCTTTCACACCCATACACAACGAACAATTTAGCTTACCCAATTCACCTGATCACGCCACCCTTAACCCGAAAGTGAAAACGAAAGTGACCGGTTAGCAAAGTGAGGACCGGGGGGGATGAGGGTGTCATGGATGAAATTGAAGACCGGGGGTTGGGTTGTGGTCGCGCACGGCAACCTATCTATTCTTCCGCCAAGGCGCGGGTATAACTGCTGAGGACGCGGGTGGTGAGGGAGGTGTTGAGTATGCCATCCTCTTTATTCTGCCGCACTAGGGGGCCGCCTAGGTCGCCTCTATGGATGCGCCGGCCCTGTGTATGTGTGTGAATGAAAGACAGTGTGGTGCTTTGTGTCCATGTGTGTGTGTTTATACAAACAGCTTGTTATAATTAAGAATATAATCAGAATCTTATACCGACTCCCGCTTACCAGTCACAGTAAAAGTGTGGTTTTCCTTGCATTCATAAGCATTATTATTGAAAAATACTTTAACTGTTGGCAAGAATGTTCAAATTCTAATGTAGTAGCCAACCAATTAAAGTAGTGTGTGATTTCAATATCAGCAAGAATAATTCAGACATCTGGCTGAATCTAGTTTACAGCAGGCCATTTTTTATCTTCAAATTAAATCTGAAAAGTGATGATTTCTAGCAAATGGCAGCAATGTTGTATTAAACTCTTTTAAGGTTGTTTCCACTATTAAACTGAGGAAATGTACATTTAAATCTAATTTTAAAAGTTGCAATTTAATAATCACAATCAAATTCAAACATTAACAAATTACCTAATTAAAATGCCATGAATCACATATAGTTTAATTAAAAAGGGAGACATTTTTATAACTTCAAACTTTTATACTAGCCTTTGGTCTATTTTATGTGCTACTTCATCTCAGTTTAGCCTATATACTGTGTGATCATCATTCATTTGTTAGATAAAATTAATTTTGTCCCATTTACTTCTACTTTTTACAGAGCACCAGAGGGCTTCAGTCATTTTGACATGTTTGTAATTCATTATGGCTCCGTAATCACAATTATGTATGTGAATGTGGCTGTACGGCATATTATTGATGATGATTGTCAATGTTGAACATTATGAAGCTGCAGGCCCGGAGACCCAACTGCACACTCAGACATGCACTTCCGGAGCTACACAGTGCCACCTGCTGTTTGAAAGATCGCCTAACCTAAATTCAACTGCTTATAAATTGTAACTTACTCTATTTTTCTACTATTAAATATTACACTAAGATTGAATACATTATTATATAAAATATACTAGATTATGACTTAATGCATTAATTCTGTTGTATATTTATTAATGGTTATTTGTAAATATAGTTCAGTTACGTTTTTTAATGGTTAAGGATTTATCACATTGTTTAGTATTGAGTTGAGGGAATGAATATGATCTCTTTTTCACATATAATAAATGATAGTATTCTGAGTATTTTTCCCACAACAAACCTTATTTTTGAGCACTTTTTCATGAAGTCATCGAGCTGTAAGCAATGTAAGGAAAAATGTTGAAAAGTTTTAATTATTGGATGAATAATTATTTATTAGGTAGAAAATAACATCAAATAAAATAAATGCTTTGCATTCTTGTTAGGGAGATTTTTCATTTCTCGAGCAAAGAAATGGAAATATCTATGGCATTTAGTGCACTGTATTAGTGTTAGCAAAGACCGCCCTATTTGAATTGTAATATCTATCAGGGAAAAAAATGCACAAGTCACAAGCAAATTATTTTGGTTTAACCTAAGAGAGCTCATATTGTAAATTATATGCAGATTAACTGATATTTTTGATTTCATTCATTAATTTTGCCCTTCCAGCTGCAACCCATCACTGGGAAATGCTGATACATTCTCATACACTACGAACAATTTAGCCTACCCAATTCACCAATAGCGCATGTCTATAGACTTGTGGGGGAAACCGAAGCACCCAGAGGAAACCCACGCGAGCACGTGGAAAACATGCAAACTCTACACAGAAATGCCAACTGACCCAGCCAAGGCTGGAACCAGCGACCTTCTTGCTTTTGAGGCGACAGCACTGCCTACTGCAACACTGCGTCGCCTATTTTGATTTCAAAAGATCTTATTAGTAATCATTACAGAACTTAACAATTGTTAACAACTGTAATTGTGTTGCTGTTATTGTCTGTGCTAGCACTTTCAGATAGATAATAGAGTAACACAGTAGACCTACATAGCACTCAAATGTGCAAATAATAATTGCGTTTTATATTATACATTTTGTTTAAACATTTTTACTTTAAAGGTTTTTATTTTGCCTGAAAACTGCCTAAAAAATTCTCCTTGAAATGGTACAATAATACATGAAATAAGAACTAGCTGTAAATTAAAATAATGATTAAAATAATAATAATAATCTTTTGACAGTAACTGGTCAAATCAAACACTCGAATAATTGCTTGTTGTTGTAATAAGATGTCTTATTGATTTACGCCATAAAACTTGGTCATTTTCAGGAATCGCTTTAATAAAATCAATAACCTTATTCAATGTGTTCGATGTTGCTACATTCTAGAAAGTGCCGGTCTGAGCGTGCAGTTGGGTTTCCGGGCCTGCAGCTTCACCCCTTAATCAGGATGAGACAAAAATTGTCAGGGACAGTCGTTTTGTAATATTTTAAATTAATAGTGTTGAAGTGACCCCAGTAACAAAACAATTAGCAAACGACATTAATAATAACGATGATAAAATACCACTCTTTTTAGCGCTCCTACCTAGCATAATGTTAGTCCTATTCCGCCTCTGTGCTTTGTTTGTGCTGTCTGTCATTCAAAAAGTAGATCACATAACACGATAAGTAGATCCGATGCGATCGATCAGATTGTGCTGCAAAATAAAACTTAGACCAAACCACCTGAAACTAATTGGATTAGTTATTAGATTAAATTAGTATTGGTAGACTGACTTATATGCGTCTCTAAAAACGAAACCAAAACTACAGTATAAATGAAAACTTGCTGCAGTTACGGATAGCATGAAGTAAACGTTTATATACTTGAAAATTAACCTAATTTGACAAGTTTAGGGCTACTAGACAGTAGTGTACCTACCGGCCGCTCAGATTTCCCTGTTTTTAACCGTCAAACGATGATCTTTTTCATTAGATGCTTATGCCAGTTGGTACACCGCTGGGTGAGTTTTTCGCCACCTGCTGGGATGGAGTGAGGCCGGATAAGAGAATTGTTTATTGAAAAGAAAATTTAAAAAAAGAAAGAAACAAAATAGATTTTGTAATAAGTCTGTTATTTTCAGGAAATATTTAAGTGCTTTGTGTAATAAGCAGGGGCGGATTTATTGATTTGGGGGCCCTAAAGTCCTAAAATGCACCCTTTTCCACTTTGTAATTTATTTTGCTGATCTATATATCACTCCATCTTCTTTTCTACATTTTATCTTAATGCTATCTCTACATTTTAAATGATTTGTTTTCTTAAAATGAATTCTTAACTAAAATAATATATAGCCTATATTTTCTTAATTTGACTGGACTACTCCATGATTGGGGGTGATGGACAACCTGGTGCAAAATAATATTAAAAAAATAATATTATAATGTTATTACATAACATAACATTGTAATAATAAAACTATATTTTAATGTATATCAAATAATATGTAATTACATAAAAATTTCACCAAACAAAATATGATAAAAAGTGATGTTTTTTATAGTGTATAGGAACAATTTGTGCTTCTAGATATTTATTGGGGGCCTCCAGATTTCTTGGGGACCTCACTTATTGTTTAAATCCACCCCTGGTTATAAGAACTGTTTAACACATTCTGTAATGTCGTAGATTTAATGCCAGCAGCTTGTAATTCCTCTTTTAACTGGAGTTTTCCCCTTTCATGTGCTTTTGTAACCCTCCCAAAAAGGGCATAAAGTATTCAAACACAAAACAAGTTCTGGACAAAATAAAATATTTATTTCGGGCCACAATAATCAAGCAAAATTCAAACACTCAATTCACCTAAATACTAGTTTCACTTTTTTTTTTATTTTAGCAGCAGGTAAAGAATAAAAAGTTCACAAATGATGTATATATTATTAGCGGACTGGATAAAAATGATTGGGTAAGGCAATTAAAATGACCACCACTAGGCATTTAACAAATGGCATCAACCGTAATTGCGCAACACATCTACATTTCACGACAACCCAGAGTTGTAATACACCACACAGTAAATCTCTTAAATATAAATGTATAAATAACACCCATAAACAGACACCACACAGCAATCAAAACATAAGCTACCATTACTGCCACTCCAGCTAACTAGTATCAAGCAATGACTGTAAAAAATATGGACGACGCGATAGCCCCTTTTCCCATTGAACGCCTTGAGGGCAAAACGCCTGCTTGACGGGCACAAACTGTCGCAAAAGACTGCTGAAATTGGAGCCTTGACATGCGCAGAAGGACTGTCTGATGGAGCCAGAGGAGGAGCCGCGAAAATGAGCGGAGTCGAGCTTCCAATCAAACGCTTTATGTAAAATCAACTACGCCCCCCGAACTTCTCAGCATGCGTTTACTGTCATATCAACACAAATGGATGTAATAACGTTAACAAATATGAGGGTTTTATATATTCAATCGCGCCAGCTCCGGGCCGCAGCGCATAACCTACTCTCGGCGTCGCGGGCTGATTCCGGCTTGCATGCGGCAGCGCCGGCTCGCTCGGCCGCCGCATCTGGCTAGATTGACTCGGGCTGGAATCTGGCAGTGAGTCCAGGCATCTGGAGTAGGTCCAGCAGAGGTAGTCAGTCTGAGCTCTGAGGGGTAAGTCTCCGCCAGGCGAGAATCTAGCCGGAACTGGCCCGAGTGTATTTTGCTATCTGGGTGGCTAGGAGTACGTGTATCAGCAAACTAATAAAGCCCGAAAAAAACCCTGACCTTAGCGAATAAACAGTGTTCCACCAGGATCATGTATGTCAGAAACTGTAGTTTACTGCTGAACTCATTTTGTCATGGTAAAATAACACAGAAATCGAATAACAACACTTCAGTCTCCTGTCGAAGCTCAGACGCGCTGCTTTGAGAAACTGTCAATCATATCTGTCAATCACGATGACACGCCCAGCATTAAATTACTGCTAAAAACAAACTGTTTACAAAAATGAAGATCTGCACCTATTTCAGCACAATAACCAGTGCCTTAATCGACCAGAGCCATCTTTCGGGACATTTTATTGCCAATGTAATAAATTTGATCTAGAAGAAAATGCAAGAGGAACTGCACTTAAGACAAGAATCAAAGCTATGTAGTGGCACAAGTCATCCTGCAGAGGACGCAAATGCTCCATTACAGTTTTTCTCAGTGGTGCATTTCTCACAACGCTATTCACATTTGCACAAGTTAATGCATTTCTCGAAACAATTAGTCAATTTTGCACATCATAGCAGCAGTTTCTGATTCCTTCCAACAAACTGCAAATGCTTTTGGACATGCATTAATTGCTTTCATACAGCTTTCTGCTGTTTATAACATTATCATTTGCTTGTCATGTCTGTCAAAATAAACTAAACCTGTGAATGCTGAATAGTCATTCCATATACAACTAATAGTCCTCATTTCATTACTTGAGTCATTACATACTGAATTGTTGAACTAGTTCTCAAAATCTGTCAAGAAAATTTTATCAACAAATTAAAAGTTTTTCTTTCTGAAAATGTCTTCTAAATTCTACAATTTGATGAATGATTTACAGACCTGTGTATGTTGTAGGTTCAGCTCCAATATGTACTGCAATATTCTCTACAGTTTTACACAACTCTACCCAAAGGGAGTTTATGTTTGTTGTAAATAAAGGTGTGTTTATTCTTTTGCACAATGCTGTGAGTAAATTAGAATGGCAAAGAGCAAATGCAGTGGAAATGTGAAACATACATATTCAGTGTCTTGTACTCAGATACTTCACTAAATGCAGTGATGTCTGACTTTACTGTAGTTTTCAAACGGCTGTGTAAATAGTATATAGTGCTGTCTTGAGCATTTTCAGGAAGTGTCACCAAAATCTGACTTTTTGCATTGGAAAAAAAATTACAGAGTAAACTGTCATAATGAAAACATGAAAAAGCCATTTGACTATCTTGATCATAAACAATGGTGTCAGGACTTTTCATCTTGACGACACTGACACTTTCACTGACATCAATACTTGCTTTTGAGGAATGAGCTCTCCATTTTGAACAAGTGACACACTTATGCAGGTTATCAACTAGGTTTTGCAGTTTGACCTAATTGTTTTGATAAATGCATTAACTGTTGTGCAAAGGTAAATAGTGTTGTGAGAAAAGCACCAAAGCCAATGAGAAAACCTGTAATTACTTAGCAAAGCCCAAAATAACAGTCAGAAAAGCAGAAAGTTATCCTAGGCCAGGGTGTCTGACTCGGTCCTGGAAGGCCATTGCCCTGCAAAGTTTAGTTCCAACCTCAATCAGACACAGCTGGCCTAGCTAATCAAGCTCTTAAGCTGCAGTCACACTCGACTTTTCTCCCCATAGACTTCTATTCATACACACACGCGAATGATTTAAACCAGAAACGCAGGTTCATGCGTCAAGTTTCGAAAGTCGCTTCGGTGCAAAGTTCAAGCTTGGTGCGTGAGACCAATCAAGGATCAAAACACGACCTCTCTGGACAGAAATTTAAAACGGAGCAATCACTCACTTTTTTTAATGTCTAATCATCTTGTTTAATCTCGCTCCTTTTCGCAGCGCTGTAAGACAGAATTTAGCACACACAAACTCTACTGTGAGCGCAGCTTTACTAGGCACTCTAGAAACATCCTTGCAGGCGTGTTGAAGCAAGTTGGAGCTAAAATCTGCAGGACATCGGCCCTCCAGGACCGAGCTTGGACACCCCGTCCTTGGCTGTTCATGTGGAAAAAACTAAAGAGTCTATAGAAGTGTATAAGACACATATGACCAAAAGCACCACTCATAATAAACCTGGACACAAATAACTATAAGAAAATGAGAAAGAGTCGCAAAGCACTAAGAATACAAGAGGAGAAATAGTAAATTTGAATTAATCACTAACAAGGTCAGATGCATTGTTTTTGGTTCCTTTTCTGGACTTTGAACATCTTTTGACACTTGGTGTCATTGGAGAATGAGACATCAGAAATATCTTAATTTATGTTTTGAAGATGAAGGTCTTAAAAGTTGAAATGTTATTAGGGTGAGTTATCATTTTTAGGTGAACTGAGTTTGAAATACAAGTTAAATGAATGGTTCCTATATTTGAAACTTTTATTTAAAATTCAGTTCACCCAAACATTACAATACTGTTGTAATTACTTGCCCCAATGACGTTTTATTCTTGAGACCTTTGTTCGGGCTCTTTGAGGTTCTTTTTTAACTTCATTTTAAACATTTTCAAAATTATACAAAAAAGTGGGCAAAAATGTAATTGTTTAAAATTGAATTATGTAAACACATTTTAAAAAGATATTTTAGCATATGTATTTTTGTGCATGTTTTAAATGCATTTAAAAATATATTTAAACATATAAACAAATCAATTAAACCATATGGAAGTTGTGTATTATACACCCTATACCGAATGATCAACACACTTACTCTCAAACAGATCAAGTTTCCCTTTTTATTTTAATTAAACATCAAGCGAAGCACACAATGCAAGTGTAACAATAAACAACACAACATAAGAACAGCAACTTGCTTGCTGTTGATTACATAAATGAAATTTAATGAAATTAAATTTGTGATAAATAATTTACAATTTTTGCTGGTGGTTCCTTTTTAAAAATGTCCTTCAAAGTACTCTCCTTATAAAAAATGTTGTCTAATGGTGAGAGCAGCCTGGCAGTAATTACATCTAGGAGATGCTTCGTTAATCAGTGAATAAAAATGAGTCAATCAAAATGTCCAATTCGATATCAAATATAGACAGTTTGATCATGCCTGGTCTCAAAATTGTAATTTGCTAAGTGTCTTTCTTTTTTTGGGGGGGTTAATTTTTAATGTAATTTACTATTTATGCAGTTGTTCTATTCTCGTTTGCTAATGTTTATTAGTACCGTCAATCTCAGTAATATATTGCAATATATTGCATCCCCTCAGTACCTTTGTTTAAAACTCTCTGGCGACACATTGCTAGTATCCTTTTCTTCCTTATAATGTGTATCTTAAAAAAAAAAATCAAAAACACTGTTAAGTAAAAAGTTCCAAAAGACAGAACCAAGCAACAATATAAGGAAAATATCATGAGGTGATAAAAACAGAAGTTTTTCCTACAGTAACTGACATTTCAGTCACATTAATGAGATAAAAGTGATTTTCTGAGTATTATTCCGTCTCTTGTATTCTGTCAGCATTCTAGAGCTCAGGCAGTAAAATGTGAATATTTCAATAGTTTTTGAGAAACATCCATTATCACATCAGTTTGATCAAAATAAAGAAATTATGAATCTTAATCAGAAATGAATGTGCATGTAAATGAGGTCATTGTTGATGTGTCGGGTTCACATCACCTCAAAACGGATTACATCTAATACTGTTGGCATTTGTAAGCATCACATGAATGTAGTTCAGTCAGGATCCACATCTAGTGAAGTGTAACGGCATTTTAACTTGAAATAAAGTACTTAAATCAGCTCTTTTAAAGGCTTAAAGCTGTTTACTTTAGCTGTCTGAGCTGAAATCTTCAACCTGTTAAATATTTACGCTTATTGTCTGAAAACTGTCTAAATCTAAACATACCAGTCAGAGCAGACAGCACACAGAATGAACTACACTAATAATAATAATTGTAAACCTAACAGAATATAAGTTTATATAAGATTAAAATTAAAACTAAATAAATAAAACTAAAATAAATTAAACTAAACTAAAATCAAACTATAATTACCCTATTTGTCAAATAATATAACGCTGTATTATTTGAACCCATTGTTGATCATTTCTTAAGGTGATGATAAAAGATGAATGTGGTTTATGGTCTGATGACTAGATTCATCTTTGGGACTCTGACGAGTGGTTCTTCAAGGAGTGATTTTTCCATATTGTTATTTACCTTGGTGACAAACCTACAGCCTACAGAGATAAAAAAAAAACATAAAAAATACAAACTGATATTAGCAACAGCAAAACGGCTATATTGCTTACTTTTACTCACTTTGGGTAAAAAGATCTAAAATTAATGCATGAAACCGAAACATTTAATGATAAAAATAAAACAATTAAGAAATTTCCCTCTTCTGATTATGAAATTATAGACTAACAATCAAACATTTAGATTAAATAATAAAAATAATCTGTCTAGAAATAAAATGCTTGAATTTTATTTTGTACAAAAATGTTAGCTGTGCCAGTAAATAATTATTTTTTTTAATGGATCTCTGAAAAGCTTAATGTCCATTTATAAAGATTTCACCACTGAAATAACAGTTGAAACAACTTTGGTCAATACTGTAATTCATATCAGACTCTCACCTCATTGTCTATATGTTACTGTTGTGAGAGAAGACACTGTAGATTTTCTGAGCCCCAACATCAGTGATGTAATTCCAACGGAAGCTGCAAACCAAACAATTTAATAAATTAGAAATGTCAATTATTACATTACAGTTCACAAGTTGTATTTCAATCTCACTTGATGTTTTGTGCTTTGTGGAGGTTTGGGAGCAGCAGATCCAGGCTGTAATCGGTGAGATGACACTGATTCAGATCCAGTTCAGTCAGTCCTTCAGAATATTCCAGAATCAGCGCCAAACCTCTACAGGCCTGCAGGTCCAGTGGAGTCTGACTGAGGTCCAGCTCTTCACCCAGAGCTGCAGAAAGAGACTCTGCCTGCTCGCGCCTCACATGAGTCAGAAACTGAAGCAGCAGAGGTTTAGCACAGCTGGAAGACAACAGCAAAATATATATTTTTGAATGGCAGTAAATAGATGCATTTTGGAAATGCTTAACAATTCTCTCTGCAATCAGTTCTGTGCCTAGTTGTTAACAGGAAAAGCACTGTAGGCTAGTATTTTACTATACAGCCAAATATTCATGAGAAAGTGTTTGGAGAAATAAACAGCATATGCTAGCTAGAAATGTTTTGAACCAATGCTGCTAGTTTAAGATGATCATGTGCTGGTCTTGAGTAAAAACCAGTTTAGGACCCGCACAAAATACATGCTTTAACAAACAACTAACCTCTTTTAAGGCATATGTTTAGTATCATAACAATTTGTGTGAAATAAACAATTTTTCCACAAAAACAAACTTTTATTGTGAGATTTTTCTGCCTTTTCTAACTTTATCAATGATTATTTTTGTTCAAGTGGTAGGTGTAAGGAATTGGAGGCAAGCAGAGGATGGCTGTTTGTAAAACATACAGTGCCATCTGTTGATAAAATCTAAGCGCGGATCACTTGGGCTTTGGCGCGTTTTGCACTCACACACAAGCGTACCGCACCAAAGCCCGAAACCGAAAGCGAGACGTGACTGTTAAGGGGTTGTTTCATATGGATTTATTAATCATTCTTACTGTTCAGTGATCGCAAACTGCCGTAGTTTATTAAAGACGCAAACTCCTCACAGCATGACAGCTGCGCGCCTTCAGCAGACCTCCTCATTCCTGCAGCACGAGGGCTTTATAATGGTTTATGAGCGCTAAAAGTGGCGGATCTGTTCGGTGAAATATCTGACTGCGTGTCACCGCATCCCTAAGGACTGTTTGGCGAAATATTTGACTGCATGTCACTGCATAACAAACGACTGAAAGGATATAACTAGAGAAATCTCCACTGTGCTACTGGGTGAGAGCGTATGGCAAGCCGTTTTAGCATTTAAACCTTGTTCAGACTATCCATAAATATATTTAGAGATATCTCTAATTATATTTTGACTAGTCATAATTATAATTCGACTAGTCAGAATGACAATTAGAGATATTTGCAATTACAATTGTACTAGTACGAAATCAGATTGGAGATATCTGCAAATATATTATTACTTGTCATATTCCTCTATTGACTTCCATTGAAAAATATTTGCAGATATCTCTAACTGAGTTTTGACTCGTCAAAAATCCATTTCAAGATATCTACAACTGTAATTCGAATATTAGTAAATTAATTAGAGATATCTTCAAATATATTTGTAAATATCTCTAAATAGGACGAATTAAAGACATCTCGAAATGTATTATGACTAGTAAAAACTCAGTTAGAGATATCTCTAATTACAATTGTGACTAATCAAAACTCATTTGCTTCTTCTGCTCACCAAGGCTGCAATTATTTCATCATAAATACAAATTGTGAAATGTTGCATAAAATAACTGTTCAAAAGTACTTTATCATTTAATTTATTCATTTATTCCAGTGATTTTAAAGATGAACTTTCAGCTTCATTACTCCAGTCAAATTATCCTTCAGAAATCACTAATATTAATTATTATTATATTTATTAATGGTAATAGTAATAAAAGCAATAATGTCTGGAGTAATAATTTTATTTAAAACTACATACAATAAGAAAGCAGTTATTTAAAATGTTGATGAATATTTAACAATTTAATTTTTTTACATTTAATAAATATAGCCTTGATTAACTGAATAATTTTCCTTAAAAAACATTTAAAAAATTATATATAAATTATATATAACTGTAAATATATATATACTTGAAGTCAGAGTTATTAGCCCCACTTTGTTGTTTTTTTCTTTTTAAAATATTTCCTAAGTTTTGTTTAACAGAGCAAGGAAATGTTGATAGTATGTCTGATAATATTTTTTCCCTCTGAATGAAGTCTTATTTGTTTTATTTTGGCTAGAATGAAAGCAGTTTTAAATTTTTTATGAACCATTTTAAGGTCAAATTTATTAGCCCCTTAAGCTAATTGTTTTTCAGACTGTCTACAGAACAAACCATCGTTATACAATAACTTGTCTAATTACCATAGCCTGTCTAGTTAACCTTATTAACCTCGTTAAGCCTTTCACACACACACACACACACACACACACACACACACACACACGCACACGCACACGCACGCACGCGCACACACACACACGCGCACACACACACACACACACACACACACACACACACACACACACACACACACACACACACACACACACACACCCGATCGGACCAGTAGAAAAAACCCTTAGCGTTGAACCCTGGGGTAGTAATAAGCTTGGTATACATTATAGCTAAATCATTTTCATGGTGCATTGCGGGACTTTTCAGGGTGTAAACATTTCGGTGCATTGGAACTGGATCAGTTTACTGAGAGTTAGCAAACTCTGCTCTGAACAGCTGAAAAGACAATCGAATGTTTCTTTAAACTGACACGCGTTTATGTAGGAGTTAAATGATTACTTAACATGGCACTGGATTTAACAATTAATGAAAAAGTATTCATTGCGATCTTGAAATAAGTAAACATATAACAGCTGTTAGTAGCTTGCCTTACCTGAGCTGTGAGATGTAGGGCAGACACTGAAGAAAACTCTTCACTTCACTCTCTTCCTCTGAACATCCTCTCAGCTCTACTGGTTTCTTCTCTGCTTGGAGTTTCAGCACTTCCAGGAGGACAGAGGTCTTTCTCTGTGAGAGATCTATGATCCAGACATCAGGAATCTGGAAAACTGACTGTAATGCTGGAATGAAACTCCTGCCTGTTTGAGTCTCATAATTCTTCACATGTGAGTAAAGATCCAGCAGGAAATTACTCTGAAAATTTTTTTCAGTCCATCCATAAGGAAAGAAGCTGTATGTGCAGACTGATGATAACAGTTTCAGCATCTTCTCTCCTGTCTGTGTCTCAATCTCTGCAGCTTCAATGAAGAGTTTTAAAACAGTCTGCACTGCACTCCTAGTCCAATAGTCAAACCTGATAATCAAATAATGAAACATCAGTATAAACAGACATCAAAAAGCTCCAGCGTAAAAAAAACCTAGATAAAATTCCAGTTTCAGTCCACATTTTTGTACACAGTTGAAAATGTGTATAAGAAGAAATAAAGATCAAATTAATTACTTACTGTGAAAACAAAACCTTCATTTATTGACAAAATCTCCTGCTTAGATCTACATTCAGCAAATTGATATTGAATGAGAAGTATGTGGTTAAAGCCGGGCGAAGACTACAGGAGTTTTAGCCTGATTTATGCCCTAATTTCACCTCCTGAGAATCCTCCAGTCCTCTCGGACTTTAACCAATTCCCCATCTTGGAGCAGATTATCTGGTAATGTGAGCCATTTACAGATAGAATATTGCACCTTGCGATCTCCTGAAACACAAATTGATGTCTCCCCAATCATATTAAACATGTTTGATATTCAGAATTTTAAATGGAAGTGACACAGCTGTTCCAACCTATTTCACATCACCAAAGCCAAGATGGTTTTAATAAATAAATATAGGCTATATAATTTTTTTAATAATCTTGAATTATGCTTTTTAATTGGCCAGATTTATTATTATACCCATGTGCAGATATTTAGGACACATGTAGCAGGGTACTAAATATTGACAGTTATCTCCATAAACCAAAGTGATTAAACATTTTGAACTATATTTTTAGAATTTTTTTTTCTGTGATGGGGATAGAATTTGATCAATATAAAATCAGCTTACGTCTATATAGTCCGGTAAACCAAGAAAGAGGAGGCTAAAAGATAATGTTTTATAACTGCACACAGATGACAGCAGATTTAAGAAAATTGCTTCTTTATCCGTGTCATGTTCTACTGCAGCACGAATGAAATTCATCAGGAATATTTTTCCTTCTTCATGAGTGTCCCAAAACCTGATCAAAAAGAAATAAACTACTTAATTTGTTACAACTCAACATGCACTTAATTGAGATTTACACAAAGTTAGACCTACCTTAATCAAATGAAACAAAACAGATTGTACTTTATTAACTTTAACACATAAGTTCTAGTCTCCTGCTGACCCCCTGAGTTTTTTTATTGTGATGCATCTCTTTAAAGTTCCCATGGCGATCATTCAAATTAATCACCTGACACTGCAGCCCCAATTATTTAAATACTGTAATTTCTTTTCCCCCTTTCCTGCAAATATTGACAACCATTCTAAATATAATGTAAAATATCTGATATTCCGATTCTTAAATATATGTAAGACCGCACATTTCAACTTTTAAACTGCTTTATAATTACCATAATAATTAATATATAACTGGTGATAGGTCTTGCCATGTTTAGTCCATACTGAAAAAGAGATCAGATCTGCTGGATTTACATCATGTTTATTCATAGTTTTCTTCCTAAATACTTGAAAGTAAGTGGCCCTATAACTGGAAGAGGAATAGAGTAAGTGTTCTAGTAACATAAACAGTGTTTCTCACATGACTAAAGCACATCATCTAGTTATATTTAAAAATAATTATTATTGGCATCTCCATAGGGAAGCGAGTATTTAGCAATTCTTAAATGGTTTGTTTTGCTAACATTTGTGTGCAGTTGAATGTTTGAAACCTAAAATAAATGCTATTAGTTTGAAAACACTGATAAATTGTGATTTATGTTAAGCACCATGCATCTCTTTATGGCTGCAGCTCAATCAGCTCCCTAGCTTTCAAGGTTGTTCATTAGTAGGTCATGTACATGAATACAGGCACTGGTAAGGGTAGTAATAAGCTTGCTTCACTATACATTGGGACAGACCGAGTTGAGTCTGAGTATGACTTAAGAATGTCCTCATAATGGTACACAAAACAGGAATTAATAACCAACAGCACTGACTAATAATTTTCATATATTTATTTCACAAAGTTTTTAAAAGTACATTATAGCTAAATCATTTTCATGGTGCATTGCGGGACTTTTCAGGGTGTAAACATTTCGGTGCATTGGAACTGGATCAGTTTACTGAGAGTTAGCAAACTCTGCTCTGAACAGCTGAATAGACAATCGAATGTTTCTTTAAACTGACACGCGTTTATGTAGGAGTTAAATGATTACTTAACATGGCACTGGATTTAACAATTAATGAAAAAGTATTCATTGCGATCTTGAAATAAGTAAACATATAACAGCTGTTTGTAGCTTGTCTTACCTGAGCTGTGAGATGTAGGGCAGACACTGAAGAAAACCCCTCATTTCACTCTCTTCTTCTGAACATCTTCTCAGCTTTACTGGTTTCTTCTCTGCTTGGAGTTTCAGCACTTCCAGGAGGACAGAGGTCTTTCTCTGTGAGAGATCTATGGTCCACACATCAGGAGTCTGGAAAACTGACTGTAATGCTGGAATGAAACTCCTGCCTGTTTGAGTCTCATAATTCTTCACATGTGAGTAAAGATCCAGCAGGAAATCACTCTGTTTAATTTCTTCAGTCCATGTATCAGGAAAAAAGTTGTATGTGCAGACTGATGATAAATGTTTCAGCATCTTCTCTCCTGTCTGTGTCTCAATCTCTGCAGCTTCAATGAAGAGTTTTAAAACAGTCTGCACTTTACTACTCCAAAATTGAAACCTGATAATCAAATAATGAAACATCAGTATAAACAGACATCAAAAAGCTCCAGCGTAAAAAAACCTAGATAAAATTCCAGTTTCAGTCCACATTTTTGTACACAGTTGAAAATGTGTATAAGAAGAAACAAAGATCAAATTAATTACTTACTGTGAAAACAAAACCTTCATTTATTGACAAAATCTCCTGCTTAGATCTACATTCAGCAAATTGATATTGAATGAGAAGTATGTGGTTAAAGCCGGGCGAAGACTACAGGAGTTTTAGCCTGATTTATGCCCTAATTTCACCTCCTGAGAATCCTCCAGTCCTCTCGGACTTTAACCAATTCCCCATCTTGGAGCAGATTATCTGGTAATGTGAGCCATTTACAGATAGAATATTGCACCTTGCGATCTCCTGAAACACAAATTGATGTCTCCCCAATCATATTAAACATGTTTGATATTCAGAATTTTAAATGGAAGTGACACAGCTGTTCCAACCTATTTCACATCACCAAAGCCAAGATGGTTTTAATAAATAAATATAGGCTATATAATTTTTTTAATAATCTTGAATTATGCTTTTTAATTGGCCAGATTTATTATTATACCCATGTGCAGATATTTAGGACACATGTAGCAGGGTACTAAATATTGACAGTTATCTCCATAAACCAAAGTGATTAAACATTTTGAACTATATTTTTAGAATTTTTTTTTCTGTGATGGGGATAGAATTTGATCAATATAAAATCAGCTTACGTCTATATAGTCCGGTAAACCAAGAAAGAGGAGGCTAAAAGATAATGTTTTATAACTGCACACAGATGACAGCAGATTTAAGAAAATTGCTTCTTTATCCGTGTCATGTTCTACTGCAGCACGAATGAAATTCATCAGGAATATTTTTCCTTCTTCATGAGTGTCCCAAAACCTGATCAAAAAGAAATAAACTACTTAATTTGTTACAACTCAACATGCACTTAATTGAGATTTACACAAAGTTAGACCTACCTTAATCAAATGAAACAAAACAGATTGTACTTTATTAACTTTAACACATAAGTTCTAGTCTCCTGCTGACCCCCTGAGTTTTTTTATTGTGATGCATCTCTTTAAAGTTCCCATGGCGATCATTCAAATTAATCACCTGACACTGCAGCCCCAATTATTTAAATACTGTAATTTCTTTTCCCCCTTTCCTGCAAATATTGACAACCATTCTAAATATAATGTAAAATATCTGATATTCCGATTCTTAAATATATGTAAGACCGCACATTTCAACTTTTAAACTGCTTTATAATTACCATAATAATTAATATATAACTGGTGATAGGTCTTGCCATGTTTAGTCCATACTGAAAAAGAGATCAGATCTGCTGGATTTACATCATGTTTATTCATAGTTTTCTTCCTAAATACTTGAAAGTAAGTGGCCCTATAACTGGAAGAGGAATAGAGTAAGTGTTCTAGTAACATAAACAGTGTTTCTCACATGACTAAAGCACATCATCTAGTTATATTTAAAAATAATTATTATTGGCATCTCCATAGGGAAGCGAGTATTTAGCAATTCTTAAATGGTTTGTTTTGCTAACATTTGTGTGCAGTTGAATGTTTGAAACCTAAAATAAATGCTATTAGTTTGAAAACACTGATAAATTGTGATTTATGTTAAGCACCATGCATCTCTTTATGGCTGCAGCTCAATCAGCTCCCTAGCTTTCAAGGTTGTTCATTAGTAGGTCATGTACATGAATACAGGCACTGGTAAGGGTAGTAATAAGCTTGCTTCACTATACATTGGGACAGACCGAGTTGAGTCTGAGTATGACTTAAGAATGTCCTCATAATGGTACACAAAACAGGAATTAATAACCAACAGCACTGACTAATAATTTTCATATATTTATTTCACAAAGTTTTTAAAAGTACATTATAGCTAAATCATTTTCATGGTGCATTGCGGGACTTTTCAGGGTGTAAACATTTCGGTGCATTGGAACTGGATCAGTTTACTGAGAGTTAGCAAACTCTGCTCTGAACAGCTGAATAGACAATCGAATGTTTCTTTAAACTGACACGCGTTTATGTAGGAGTTAAATGATTACTTAACATGGCACTGGATTTAACAATTAATGAAAAAGTATTCATTGCGATCTTGAAATAAGTAAACATATAACAGCTGTTTGTAGCTTGTCTTACCCGAGCTGTGAGATGTAGGGCAGACACTGAAGAAAATCCCTCATTTCACTCTCTTCCTCTGAACATCCTCCCAGCTCTACTGGTTTCTTCTCTGCTTGGAGTTTCAGCACTTCCAGGAGGTCAGAGGTCTTTCTCTGTGAGAGATCTATGATCCAGACATCAGGAATCTGGAAAACTGACTGTAATGCTGGAATGAAACTCCTGCCTGTTTGAGTCTCATAATTCTTCACATGTGAGTAAAGATCCAGCAGGAAATCACTCTGTTTAATTCTGTCAGTCCATCTATAAGGAAAATAGTTGTATGTGCAGACTGATGATAACAGTTTCAGCATCTTCTCTCCTGTCTGTGTCTCAATCTCTGCAGCTTCAATGAAGAGTTTTAAAACAGTCTGCACTGCACTCCTAGTCCAATAGTCAAACCTGATAATCAAATAATGAAACATCAGTATAAACAGACATCAAAAAGCTCCAGCGTAAAAAAAACCTAGATAAAATTCCAGTTTCAGTCCACATTTTTGTACACAGTTGAAAATGTGTATAAGAAGAAATAAAGATCAAATTAATTACTTACTGTGAAAACAAAACCTTCATTTATTGACAAAATCTCCTGCTTAGATCTACATTCAGCAAATTGATATTGAATGAGAAGTATGTGGTTAAAGCCGGGCGAAGACTACAGGAGTTTTAGCCTGATTTATGCCCTAATTTCACCTCCTGAGAATCCTCCAGTCCTCTCGGACTTTAACCAATTCCCCATCTTGGAGCAGATTATCTGGTAATGTGAGCCATTTACAGATAGAATATTGCACCTTGCGATCTCCTGAAACACAAATTGATGTCTCCCCAATCATATTAAACATGTTTGATATTCAGAATTTTAAATGGAAGTGACACAGCTGTTCCAACCTATTTCACATCACCAAAGCCAAGATGGTTTTAATAAATAAATATAGGCTATATAATTTTTTTAATAATCTTGAATTATGCTTTTTAATTGGCCAGATTTATTATTATACCCATGTGCAGATATTTAGGACACATGTAGCAGGGTACTAAATTTTGACAGTTATCTCCATAAACCAAAGTGATTAAACATTTTGAACTATATTTTTAGAATTTTTTTTTCTGTGATGGGGATAGAATTTGATCAATATAAAATCAGCTTACGTCTATATAGTCCGGTAAACCAAGAAAGAGGAGGCTAAAAGATAATGTTTTATAACTGCACACAGATGACAGCAGATTTAAGAAAATTGCTTCTTTATCCGTGTCATGTTCTACTGCAGCACGAATGAAATTCATCAGGAATATTTTTCCTTCTTCATGAGTGTCCCAAAACCTGATCAAAAAGAAATAAACTACTTAATTTGTTACAACTCAACATGCACTTAATTGAGACTTACACAAAGTTAGACCTACCTTAATCAAATGAAACAAAACAGATTGTACTTTATTAACTTTAACACATAAGTTCTAGTCTCCTGCTGACCCCCTGAGTTTTTTTATTGTGATGCATCTCTTTAAAGTTCCCATGGCGATCATTCAAATTAATCACCTGACACTGCAGCCCCAATTATTTAAATACTGTAATTTCTTTTCCCCCTTTCCTGCAAATATTGACAACCATTCTAAATATAATGTAAAATATCTGATATTCCGATTCTTAAATATATGTAAGACCGCACATTTCAACTTTTAAACTGCTTTATAATTACCATAATAATTAATATATAACTGGTGATAGGTCTTGCCATGTTTAGTCCATACTGAAAAAGAGATCAGATCTGCTGGATTTACATCATGTTTATTCATAGTTTTCTTCCTAAATACTTGAAAGTAAGTGGCCCTATAACTGGAAGAGGAATAGAGTAAGTGTTCTAGTAACATAAACAGTGTTTCTCACATGACTAAAGCACATCATCTAGTTATATTTAAAAATAATTATTATTGGCATCTCCATAGGGAAGCGAGTATTTAGCAATTCTTAATTGGTTTGTTTTGCTAACATTTGTGTGCAGTTGAATGTTTGAAACCTAAAATAAATGCTATTAGTTTGAAAACACTGATAAATTGTGATTTATGTTAAGCACCATGCATCTCTTTATGGCTGCAGCTCAATCAGCTCCCTAGCTTTCAAGGTTGTTCATTAGTAGGTCATGTACATGAATACAGGCACTGGTAAGGGTAGTAATAAGCTTGGTTCACTATACATTGGGACAGACCGAGTTGAGTCTGAGTATGACTTAAGAATGTCCTCATAATGGTACACAAAACAGGAATTAATAACCAACAGCACTGACTAATAATTTTCATATATTTATTTCACAAAGTTTTTAAAAGTACATTATAGCTAAATCATTTTCATGGTGCATTGCGGGACTTTTCAGGGTGTAAACATTTCGGTGCATTGGAACTGGATCAGTTTACTGAGAGTTAGCAAACTCTGCTCTGAACAGCTGAAAAGACAATCGAATGTTTCTTTAAACTGACACGCGTTTATGTAGGAGTTAAATGATTACTTAACATGGCACTGGATTTAACAATTAATGAAAAAGTATTCATTGCGATCTTGAAATAAGTAAACATATAACAGCTGTTAGTAGCTTGTCTTACCCGAGCTGTGAGATGAAGGGCAGACACTGAAGAAAATCCCTCATTTCACTCTCTTCCTTTGAACATCCTCTCAGCTCTACTGGTTTCTTCTCTGCTTGGAGTTTCAGCACTTCCAGGAGGTCAGAGGTCTTTCTCTGTGAGAGATCTATGACCCAGACATCAGGAATCTGGAAAACTGACTGTAATGCTGGAATGAAACTCCTGCCTGATTGAGTCTCATAATTCTTCACATGTGAGTAAAGATCCAGCAGGAAATCACTCTGAAAAAATGTTGCAGTCCAACTAAGAGGAAAGAAGCTGTGTGTGCAGACTGATGATAACTGTTTCAGCATCTTATCTCCTGTCTGTGTCTCAATTTCTGCAGCTTCAATGATGAGTTTTAAAACAATCTGCACTGCACTCCTAGTCCGATCGTAAAACCTGATAATCAAATAATAAAACATCAGTATAAACAGACATCAAAAAGCTCCAGCGTAAAATAAACCTAGATAAAATTCCAGTTTCAGTCAACATTTAATATATATATATATATATATATATATATATATATACATATATATACACACACACACACACAAATATATAGAATAATATATAAATATAATAATTTATATATATATATATATATATATATATATATATATATATATATATATATATATATATATATATATATATATATATATATATATATTAAATATATGTATATATTTTTTTTTAACAGAAAGAGGTAACTACAGACTGGGGGGTTGCATTCAGTGAATTATATTTTCACACTGTACTTGTTATATGTGCAACAGGTAACAATTTCACCTTTAAAACGTATAACAAGCTAATAGCTTTTACCAGTCAAACACAGCACAGCCATCACAGCAAAATGAAGAGATTTAAATGGACATATTGCGCTTGTGTTTGGACATTTCGTCACCTTGTATTCTATCTGCGTTCTGAATGATTTTGAGATATTGAGCTTCAAAGTTTTTGCATTCCATAGCAAATAGTATGTGTGTAAGATATGCTTTTTAAATAAAAACGTCTTAAAATGTAAATAACTTGTATAAAAAAACACCCCACGATGTAAAAACGTAGTCATTTAATAGGAATATGTTAATAACTCAATTTGGACAAAAATGTCAGACAGAACCTTATAATTCTAAGGTTATGATATTGCGTATCAACATGCAACATTTCTTCATTCTGCAGGCGATCCAGTACCTGCATGCTATAGCCTACCCTGATAAGCATGCAAAATGTCTATCCTTATTTGTTATTATATACTGTACACACTTATGAAATTAAAGTTTATGTGTGAGAGGGAAATGTAGTAATTATTAACAAGTAATTATTAGTAGGAATAAAAAGAATAGTTGGTGAGACTCGCATCGGTTTTAACTAATAAATAAATATACTTTAGGTCTACATAAGCTAAATAAATTTTAAATGATTTTTTTATTAGCCATTATGACTGAGATGTAATAAAACAAAATGCTAAAACATTTAAATGTGCTTTTGAAAAAATATATACACACACACACACGATGTTTAGGAAATTTTCACAGTATGTCCAATAATATTTTTCCTTAGAGAAAGTCTGATTTGTTTTATTTCAGCTAGAATAAAAGCAGTTTTTAAATAAAACCATTTATAAGGTCAAAATTACTATTTTTTTTCAATAGTCAACAGAACAAACCACAGTTATACAATGACTTGCCTAATTACCCTAACCTGCCTAGTTACCCTAATTAACCTAGTTAAGCCTTTAAATGTCACTTTAAGCTGTATAGAAATGTCTTGAAAATATCTAGTCAAATATTATTCATTCATTTTAATATTATTAATTTAGTATATATTATTTACATCACAGCAAATATTAAATAAATCAGTTATTAGAAAGGGGGGGTCTAATAATTCTGACTTCAACTGTGTGTGTATATATATATATATATATATATATATATATATATATATATATATATATATATATATATATATATATATATATATGTATGTATGCAGGGGCGGACTTAGTGATTTGAGGGCCCTAAGCAATTCCAGGTATGGGGCCCTAGCAAATAAACCGCATGTTGAAAATGTATATATTAAAAAGCATATATATATATATATATATATATATATATATATATATATATATATATTTTTTTTTTTTTTTTTTTTTTTTTTAGATCTTAGCTCCAACTTGTCTTAACACACCTGCATTGATCTTTCTAGTAAGTCTATTTACATGATTATTATAGGTTATAATAGGTTATTATAGGTATAGGTGTATTATAGGTTTTATAGGCATTGGTCGGTGTTACAATCCTATGTTTGTCTTGTCTCATCTGTTTTTTTTTTCTTGTTCCTGTTTTGCTTAGAACACATCCAATTGGCCACTTCCAGCTTGCTCGATCCTGATTGGCCTACAGTGTTTTAAAAAGCCATGACAGCACTTCCTTAGCAGCCATCTTGTTTTTGGTCACTTGCTTGTGTTTGTTGAAATGTTTGATTGTGGTATAGTGCAGAGTTTTTGGATGTGTTAGGACTGAGAATATTGAGATTTGTGAGTACTGTTTGCTTTGTTTGACTTCTGAGATTACGTTGAGAATTGTGAGTACTGTTTGTTTTAGTGTTTGCTTTGTTTATGATACTTTGTTCCACCGGCTTGTTTGACCTTTGTTGCCTGCTGACATTGATTTTGGATTGTCCTTCAAATATGGTTGCCTGTTTTTGTAAATAGATTGTAAATAGTGTATATTGGGATAGTAAGGAGTTTGACGCCATTTTCTTTGTAAAACCTTTTTGCCTCTGTTTTTGTGTTAGGTAGTTAGGGAAGTGAATTGTACTTTCTTTTCTTTTATTTGTGATCAGGTAAGTTAGAGATTTAATATAAAGGAATTTTTGTTTGTTATTTTGGCCTTGTCAGCTCCCGAATTCAAACCCCAATAAATCTTTGAATTCATTTTGTTGTCTTGTCTTTCATGTTGTGCACCATCCCTAGACGGTGCGTAACAGTCGGGGCCCCCAATTTTCCAGTGCCCTAAGCAGCTTCTTACCTCGCTTATTGGTTAAGTCCACCCCTGAGTGCATGTTGGCTATGTTTAGGATAGGGGATCAAATAGTATACAGTATAAAAACATTTAGCCCTGTAATATAAAAAGTACAGGCCTAGGCTAGGCTATAAGACGATTTTATTTCTCAGAGAAAGAACTGCAGACCCGGGTTTCATTGCATTGCGAATTATATTTTTCACACTATAGGCTAAGCAGTGCAACAGGTAACAATATCGCTTTTGAACTAGATAGCTAGTCAAAGCACAGCTCATGCCGCCAGTATGCTGATATTAAAAATTAAGAATGAAAAAATTTATAAATAGTTTATTATTATTATTATTATTATTATTATTATTAGATTAGATTATTATTATTATTATTAATACACTCGTTTAGACAATACACTTTTCCAGCAAGCACAATTTTTTCATTCTGTTTGCTCTGCATGTGTATAAAAGTGAAATGAACAGAGAAAAATAAACAGAAGATAAATAATATGCGGCTCATTTTGTCCCATTTATTTAATTTATTTAACACTAAGACGCTATTAACACAAGCGGGAACCTATTTTGAGTGCATGAGTGTTTTGCATATAGAGGCATTTGTTTAAATATTAGTAACTTTGCCTATAATAAAAAACAATCATTAATAAAGCGAGTTATTCTGTGATCAGGTGATGTGTTCCATCAGACTTGTATCTAAGCCGCGGTTTTTTAGGGTGTAAACATTTCGGTGTACTGGAATTTTATGATAGAGAAAACACATAAAATGGCTGGTGCCATAAACAGTACCCTGACTACTGAACAATGGTGCTGATTGAGGCGTATCCTGTGCCCTAACATAAGCAGTCATATGTCCATTTAGCAGTTGATGATGTGCGTTCTGAACATTCTGATCACAATAGGATTTTTGTAAATGTGAAAGTTAAAGAAAAAATAAATTTGAAAACACTGCATTTGTGTCTTAATGCCAACTTCAGACTTATTAAATATCAGAAAATTAAAAAATATAAATATATATTTTAATAACATTAAACTGAAGCTATTACTGCAACAAACAATTATGATAATCTCCCTCATATACAGTTAAAAAAAATACATCTAGTAAATGAATATGTTAAAGTTTAGTACCTGAGCTGTGAGATGAAGGGCAGACACTGGAGGAAACTCTTCACTTCACTCTCTTCCTCTGAACATTCTAGCAGTTCTACTGGTTTCTTCTCTGTTTGGAGTTTTAGCACTTCCAGGAGGACAGAGCTTTTTCTCTTTGAGAGATCTATATACCAGACATCAGGAATCTGGAAAACTGATTGTAATGCTGGAGGGAAATTCCTGCCTGTTTGAGTCTCATAGTTCATCACATGTGGATAAAGATCAAGCAGGATATGGGCCTGTTTTTGTTTCAAAAAATAATCACCCAACTCTTTATTAAATTCTGAAGTTTTATAACTGCACACAGATAACAGTGGATTTAAGAAACTTGGTTCTGTATCTGTGTAATTTTTTACTGCAGCATCTATGAGATTTATCAGGAACAATTTTTCTTCATCACCCTCGTAGAAAAACCTGACCAAAAAGAAATAAACTGCTCAATTTGTGACGATTCAACATACAAATAATTAACATTTCACACAAATGGTCTACTATACCAAATTAAACTAAACAAAACAAATTACACTCTATTACACTATTAATAAAAACCTAATCTGAAAAACTTCAATTCTGTGTGTATGCCAACTTAAGACTTATTTAATATCAGAAGAAAAAACATATACATTTATAAATTAAAGTGATATTACTGCAACAAATAATAATAAAAAATCTCCCTCATGCACAGATTAAAAATGGTAAAAGTATATGCTAAAGTTCAATACCTGAGCTGTGAGATGAAGGGCAGACACTGGAAGAAACTCTTCACTTCACTCTCTTCCTTTGAACATCCTCTCAGCTCTACTGGTTTCTTCTCTGTTTGGAGTTTTAGCACTTCCAGGAGGACAGAGGTCTTTCTCTTTGAGAGATCTATGATCCACACATCAGGAGTCTGGAAAACTGACTGTAATGCTGGAGGGAAACTCCTGCCTGTTTGAGTCTCATAGTTCATCACATGTGAGTAAAGATCCAGCAGGTAATTACACTGATCAAGTTTCAAACTATAATCATTCCACTTATCTTTAAAGTGGAAAGTTTTATAACTGCACACAGATAACAGTGGATTTAACAAACTTGGTTCTGTATCTGTGTCATTTTTTACTGCAGCATCTATGAGATTTATCAGGAACAATTTTTCTTCATCACCCTCGTAGAAAAACCTGACCAAAAAGAAATAAACTGCTCAATTTATGACGATTCAACATACAAATAATTAACATTTCACACAAATGGTCTACTAAACCAAATTAAATTAAACAAAACATATTACACTCTATTACACTATTAATAAAAACCTAATCTGAAAAACTTCAATTCTGTGTGTATGCCAACTTAAGACTTATTTAATATCAGAAGAAAAAACATATACATTTATAAATTAAAGTGATATTACTGCAACAAATAATAATAAAAAATCTCCCTCATGCACAGATTAAAAATGGTAAAAGTATATGCTAAAGTTCAATACCTGAGCTGTGAGATGTAGGGCAGACACTGGAGGAAACTCTTCACTTCACTCTCTTCCTTTGAACATCCTCTCAGCTCTACTGGTTTCTTCTCTGCTTGCAGTTTTAGCACTTCCAGGAGGACAGAGGTCTTTCTCTGTGAGAGATCTATGATCCAGACATCAGGAATCTGGAAAACTGACTGTAATGCTGGAATGAAACTCCTGCCTGTTTGAGTCTCATAGTTCTTCACATGTGAGTAAAGATCCAGCAGTGCCTTGCATGTGTCTTGGTTGTTTTTGTTTCCCACATCAGCAAAGTTGCAATGGCATTGAGATGCTTTATGGAAGAATTCTAGAAGGCTTGCGATTTGCTTCAGGGGTTCTTTATGAAGCTTTAACCTTCAAAACATAAATAAAATACATGAGAAGTATTAACTACTGATTTTATTATTTTTAAAATCACAGTTGGAACAATATCCAAGGTTTGATTTGGCAGTTGGATTTCAGCAGTCACTCCCACTAGCAACTTTGGCAGGTTACATTTTTTATAACCTAAATATGATATTTACTTACAAGTGAGAATCAAAAGAAGCACTTTAAACTCAGAGTCAGAGAGTTGCAGTATTTAACCCTTGTCCAGAAGAATTTATTCTTTAAAAGAGAAAGTTAAATAAAATTAAAAGCTTTGATATTTACCATTCATTCGGAAACATTTTTTACTATGCCAGCAATTAATTGACTCTCGTTAGTGGAGCAATCCAGTAGGACTGGGTGATAAAAAGACAACATTTATCAGAACATATAGTTTCCCTCGATAAAATGATAATGTTTGATAAAAGTTTTATATATTAAAAGTAAATATATGAGAAAAACTGAGCTGCTTATTTGTCCCACATGTACACATTTATCAATGCACATAAAGAGCTGTGGGTGTCAATAGGTCTTGAAATAACCAAATCTCCAAACACAAGTGCTTAAATTAATGTGTATTGGAGTTTAAAGTTTTTGACTAACCAAATCATAGAAATACTGTAATGTTTGCATATATTTACATGCCAAGTAAACATATTTGTTTACCTGAAAAACAATCCTGAAGTCAGTTATTCTCCTTAAAGTGTGCACTCCATTGAAATGATAAGACTTTTAATCTAATTAATACATATTCAACCTTTAATATTAATAAGAGTAAATGCTGAGTGATTGATATTTGCTGGTTTGCACTGAGTCACTGTTCAAACTATAGTTTATGTTTATTTTATTTTCAAAAACTGAGGTAAACTACCTGCTGCCACATTCATTATGGCAATAAATGCCATGTAAAGTGGTATTCAAACTCAGATTTGTAGCATAACACTGAATAAACTAAAACCAGTATCTGAGGTGATTATTGTAATAGTTCAAGCAATTGTTCAGCTGCAAGACATTTTCTAAAACAAAAATTTCAAGTGATAGTTAGGACAAAAACTCCTGTTATTAAGGAAAATGTTCCTTTTATTGTGTTGATGCTTGTAGCTAGGATATGACGTAGACTCTTAAGTCAGATGCGCTTGCTCCTGTTAGTATCATCAACCTGGCAAACTGCATTTGCAAAAAGTCATCAAAGGGGCAAGGTGAAAAAGTTTTGATTTTAAAGTGCAATACCTAGTTCGAACACTGGGTGTCATTTCTACATATTGCATGTTTAACAACATGTATAGCATTAAAGTGGAAGTGAAGCAGTCAGTCAAGTTTTCATTATTTAGTCATATGATTTCCACTTAAATTAAAGTATATTAAGCTTTATTAGTGAAAACATTTTGCAGAAAATTATATGTTTTACTATAGCTTTTAGAGCAAGGGTGCCGCCATCTTGCAATATCGCTGTGTCTGACGTTACAGGGTTGGTTTCGTTCCTTCAGCTGAACAGATACAATGGAAGTAATAGACTGAACACAGAGACTGCTAAACCTAATTTAACCTACTGCATAAAGTTGTGGGTTTGGGGTTGGTGCAAATACAAGCATCAGACGTGTCTCTAATAAAAATTTTTTTTTACATTTGTTCTATTTTTCTCTTTTAAATACCGATTGTTTGATTTGCTTTGGTCCACTTTCTGTATTACACCGCTTGACTGGGTTTCAGCCTGGTCCGGTGCTGACGTAATGGGGGCGGGTACTTTCACTTTTCGCTACTACAGCTGCTCATCTCTTTTCGTGTTAAAGAGCCCATATTATACATGAAATAGGGTCATATCTTGGTTGTAAGGGTCTCCAACAACAGTCTAATATGCATGTAAGGTCAAAAAACACTTTCATGGTCTTATAATCTGCATTTATTTTTACCTAATTATCCCAGCGACTCCTGTATGAATCGTCCAGTGATTCATTTGTTCCCAAACCCCTCCTTAGCGCGAAGCTAATCTGCGCTGATTGGACTGATGACAGCCTGTCGCGATTGGTTGACTGCCTTCAGTCAGAGAGTGAAATGCCCAATAGCTAATCAGCAATATAGAAAGTAATCACAGTGCATACACGCTCGATAGTGTAGGCGTGGACTTTAGCTGCCACACACACACAAAAACACACACACACACACACACACACACACACACACACACACACACCTCCGGACCAATGACTGTAAAAAATATGGACGACGCGACAGCCCCTTTTCCCATTGAACGCCTTGAGGGCAAAACGCCTGCTTGACGGGCACAAACTGTCGCAAAAGACTGCTGAAATTGGAGCCTTGACATGCGCAGGACTGTCTGATGGAGCCAGAGGAGGAGCCGCGAAAATGAGCGGAGTCAAGCTTCCAACCAAACGCTTTATGTAAAATCAACCACGCCCCCTGAACTTCTCAGCATGCGTTTGCTGTCATATCAACACACATGGATATAATAACGTTAACAAATATGAGGGTTTTATATATTCAAATCGCGCCAGCTCCGGGCCGCAGCGCATAACCTACTCGCGCAGTCGCGGGCTGATTCCGACTCGCATGCGGCAGCGCCGGCTCGCTCGGCCGCCGCATCTGGCTCGATTGACTCGGGCTGGAATCGGTCAGTGAGTCCAGGCATCTGGAGTAGGTCTAGCAGAGGTAGTCAGTCTGAGCTCTGAGGGGTAAGTCTCCGGCAGGCGAGAATCTAGCCGAACTGGTCCGAGTGTATTTTGCCATCTGGGTGGCTAGGCATGTATCAGCAAACTAATAAAGCCCGAAAAAAGCCCTGACCTTAGCGAATAAACAGTGTTCCACCAGGATCATGTGTCAGAAACTGTAGTTTACTGCTGAACTCATTTTGTCATGGTAAAATAACACAGAAATCGAATAATAACACTTCAGTCTCCTGTCGAAGCTCAGACGCGCTGCTTTGAGAAACTGTCAATCATATCTGTCAATCACGATGACACGCCCAGCATTAAATTACTGCTAAAAACAAACTGTTTACAAAAATGAAGATCTGCACCTATTTTAGCACAATAACCAGTGCCTTAATCGACCAGAACCATCTTTCGGGACAGTTTATTGCAAGTGTAATATTTTTTTTTATTTGGGCTCAAGTCTCCTTCATTAACACGGAGGAGGCGGGCTTTATGACTTGTACTGCAGCCAGCCCCCAGGGGGCGATCTACCGGCCGAGACCTTCACTCAAACGCAGGCTTGCGGCACACTTGCTCCGGACGACAACGCTCCCGCTTCCGCCCGCACCCGCCAGGTTTAGCCTGAACCCGACCACTCCCGCTGTTCTCCCGGTGCCCGACCCGCCCCGTTTTCTGCCCGCCGCGCCCGATCCCGCTAAAGAGCGGGGGAGAACAAAACCAAAAATCACCCAGTTATACAGTCCAGACTACAGATGCGCGGATGGGCTTTTATTTCATCCGCAACCGCATAATAAAATTCATCATCCGTCCGCCATCCATCCGCAGCAACATTTTTGACCAATTTTTAAAACCGCACCCGTCCGCCATCTGCTGATTGGGCTCTTTATTTGAATGGCTTATTCTTTTTTTTTTATTAAATGAATGTTTCTTTATTGATCATTATAGAATAGAGAATGACTTTAATGTAGACATGCAGTTAATCCAAACGTGCAAGTCATTAATTGACGACGCTTTGAAGTGACGCTAAAGATACGAGGACGTGTCTTTTCACTTGATTCGATTCCTCGGTCCTTCAGTCTTTTCCTTGCGTCCTTCCCTCGTATCCCGGTGGGGTGGAAACACGAGGAAAGAAAGCAAGGAAAGGAAACGAGGATGCACAAATAAGAAATGAGAAGCACCCGAGCTCTCAGAATATCAGCAGTGAACTCCGTCTCTAATCGGCGCACAGGGACAAAAATAAATAAATAGCCTAAATTAAACGCACTGTACTATACAACTTTTTTTTATTGTAGCCTAATAGAAAACGCATTGACACATCATTTCAACATGCTGCTATTTAGCCTACTACTAAATGCCTATTTCACTTTATTTTTTTTCTTAACGTAAAATTATCAGCTGACCGAACTCAAAAGTTTATATTGAACATATGTGTAGCCTAAATAACATAGGCTAATTGGTTTAATATGCCTGACCTTAGGTCTTGTTTGATTTTTTTCTTGGCACAATGCAGGAATAAAATAGCATCTACAGTGTCAGGATTCAGACGGGAGTGCCTGCATAGCCACTGCGCCCTGCTGCACTGAAGGAGCGCTCGCTCGCAGCACTTGTTGCTGAAATGCATAGAATTCTCTTGGAAAGGTGCTGTAGTCGTGGGAATGCCTGGCCTTATTTCTCCCAAAAGGAAAGTAGATTTTCCTCTGCTGATCCGTCTATACGGAAGTTTGTAGAGGAATAATACTTCTGTACACTTCATCCAGAATTAGTGTATCCGATTCCTCCTCCCATTCTGTGAAGTCAGTCCTAGGCTTTTTCGTTGGTGCGCCAGCTATGAATATAAAAACAGTACAACCGCCCACCACCCGCCCGAATTTAATTAAAATATAATTTTTTCGTAACGTCATCCGCCCGATCCGCGGTTTATCTGCGGAGTCCGCGGCTATAACCGCCAACCGCGCATCTCTAGTCCAGACAGCCAAGCTGTCTGTATAAACACACACAGCACCAAGCACACACATACAGACAAAGTTCTCTCTCTCTCATACGCGCGCGTGCGCACTAACACACACACACACACACACACACGCACGCACGCACGCACACAGGCAAAGCTCTCTCTTTCTCATTCGCATAACAATATCCGTGATATTGCTAGACGGCCCGCTCCCGTCCCAAATTAAACCCGTTACCGACCGCTCCCGCGATTTTTCGGAAATTTATTCCTGCGCCGCAGAAATCTGGCGCGGGGACAGCCGCGGGAATGCAGACCGCTACCACGGAGCTCTGTAAACAAAGCAGCACGCGTCGCGTTTTTAACGTGACTTTGCACGCGATAAGAGAATATAGCCAGTTAACCTGATACAGTACACGCGGTTACAAGTAACAAATCACAACTAAATACATTTGCAAGCTAGAGTCAACGAGGCAACTTTAATCACACCTACTTACACTTGAGAAATGGAAGAAGTAACCCATCCTGACGTCCATCAGTAAGTTAACTTACTCTTTACTGATCCTTCCTTTAACAAACGCAGATAAAGTATTCTTTGTAGCATGTAGTTTCCAGAAGTTTCCAACTGTTTGGTTATAATGCTGATGTTTCATCTTTGGGTAGACCCTCGATAATATCCATCTGCAGTGTGACTTCAATCGACCGGTGTTCCGGAGAATTCAGTTCCCCTGTTCCCCCATTCACAGCGCATGCGCAACTTTACGGCTGATTCCATGTACACAAATCATGACGTCATGAATTCGCTTCGCGAACTGAAACAGTTCATGGTTGTTTTGCTGTATTTTTGTAAGCCCGGTGTTTATTTCATCACAGAGTTTATACAATTTTGTAATTATTTGCATGGACACCCGTGTCTATTGTATTGTTCCTGTTTTTAGCACGCGTTCGCTTGTTTCTTTCAAACAGTTGCCTTGTCGAAAAAATTAAACCATACTACACTGCACAAATTATAGTGTGTTTTATTTCAGATAAATGACAGTGATACTTGTGTTGTTTTAAAAGACATATTTACGTAACTTGTCATGTATCTTCAGAAAGTGACTTTACATTAAAAACACAGGAGTACAGATTTTCCCGAAGCAGAGGAAAGTGTTACCTTCTGAGGATTGGAAAACACAATATACAATGCCCTTTTAACATCAGATTTAAATCTAACAATTTTGTTACACTAAAATAAAACATAAGTAGGCCTAAATTAAAAGGATACAATAAATGAGTTTACTATTTGAACAACCCTATGCTTATCTCACACACACACACACACACACACACACACACACACACACACACACACACACACACACACACACACACACACACACATATATACATACATACATATATATATATATATATATATATATATATATATATATATATATATATATATATATATATATATATAAACTAGCAAAAAAAAAAAAGCTAAAATCTTTTCAAACGAACCAAACAAAAATATGTGCACATTTTCAAGTGTTTAAAGCAAGCTAAGCAATAATATTCTTCATTATAGGCTGTACAATATATCTTATCAGCATTAATATTGCAATGTGCCCAGCTGCAGTAGTCACATCTGCAATGTTGAACAGCACAGGAGTTCAGAATACATGTGATTTGTGGAGTAGCTGCAGATTTTAACCAAAATTAAATTTAAAAAAATTATTATTTGCATGTGATTTCAAAGAGTTTAATACATTCAGGCACAAGAAATTATAACTTTTATATCTTAAACAAATATTAATTGTACTTGTTTTTATATAAAGAAGACTAGTGTTAATTTACATTTGATTATTCAATTTCTGTACTGAATGCTCCAAAAAAAAACAAAAAAAAAAACAAAAAAAAAAAACAAACATAAAACACTGTTTATCTCAGCAGTTTTGTCTTTGCCCTGTTTATCTATGCTTGTAAATTGTTTTATGCATGATTCAATTAGTCCTCTACAAAATCATGCCAATCAATGTAAAATAATGAATTATTTTCTAACAGCTATTTAACCAATCTGGTGTAATAGTTTTTATATCACAATATATAAGGCAGAACAACAAAATATTGCAATATTAGTTTTATTTTGTTTTTTCAATATCGCACAGCCGTATTCTGCCAACACATGACTGGTGATAACCACATCAATAACAGGCAATCTGAAAGATCATGCAGGGTAATAACCCACAATTGCCTCAAACATTAAAATAATGTTTAACAGCTTTTATCAATTTAACAAGAAACAAAAGGTACAAAAATTGTTGAAAATAAAAAAGTACTCATTTACCCAAGCAGGTGAATGCAAATGGTCATTGTGTAGTCCACAAAAATAACATAAATCACTGTAAATACACTTTTCTGAACATATAAGAGTTTAGACATAATTATACCATTAAAAAATGTCACCAGCATCACTGTAGTGCCTTTCAAATCCACAAAAGGTAATATATAGGAGTTAACACTTCTTTGGGCAATGTAAAAAAAAATTCCCATGCCTTTTCAATGGTAACACCCCTTTATAGATAGTAAAAAAGTTTTCAAAAAAATTTTGAGCCTATCTTTTAATTGTATTCTGTGCTGTATCCATAATTGTTGTTTATGCCCTTTCTGCAGATGAAAACTGTTGGAGACAATTATTAGATTAAAAAGACGTCATTGTATTGTTGTTTTGTTTTGTTTTTTAATTCAGGAAACTTCCCTTGCTTACAGAAAACCTGTTCTCGTGTGTTTTCATATGCAGATAATTGACAAATGTTTGCATTAACAGTCTATGCAATTTTTAAACATTACAAGCATCATCGTGACTTACCTAAAACAAGAGACACTAATTTTGCAGTGCTATTTTCTCGACAAGGCTTATTTGAAAGACAATGCTTGTTTGAATGAAACACGAGAAAACACGCACATCACGCAGACATTAACAACAAAACAATTAATAAGTGCATGCAAAAATTACAATTTCAAAATATAATAAAAAATGTTTATTACAACCAACATTGGGCTTGTTAATACAGCAAAACCAACACGATTTTTGTTTATTTTATTTTCAAAACCAACACGAATTGATTCACTAGCGAAGCGAAAGCATGACGTCATTACTGAGAATTAGCGCATGCGATGTGAAGGGGGGAACAGGGGGAACTGAATTCTCCGGAACACCGGCATGTTTGTGTGCGTGTGTTTGTGGGTGTGAGTGTGTGTCTGGGTTTCTGCGTCAGAGGGCGGGGCCTCAGGTTTGAAATCTCCCGGGTTTGCGCGTGCACGTGAATAACTTGGTTTCGTTCGTACGTCATGGCGAAACACCTAATGACTCGGTATTAAGGCGACTCGTTTGAAGCACTATGAGTCGACTCTTTTATAGATGAATCAACCGTTTTAAACACTGTATTCTAACAGATTTAAGCCTTAGCTGGGTACTTCACTTCACTTAGAGCTGTGTTACACACAACATGGAGGGGAATTTTCAAAAACCCATAATATGGCCTCTTTAAAACCAATCTAAGATTGGTGCGTTTTTGTTCACATGAAAGGTTTTTACGTCCTTCAAACAAGTTGAGAGATCAAGTTGATTGACTTGAAAAGGAAATATGTCTTGACAATCAACAAAGATGTGACGTAGTAAAGTGTGAAGTCGTGCTTTAATCGTTGCATTAGTCTGACAGTCCACAACTTCACACATTGTGTTAAATTAGGCTGTCCAGTCTCTGTGTTCGGTTCATTACTTCCATTGTATCTGTTCAGCTAAAGGAACGAAACGGAGGCAACTCTGTGACGTCAGACACAGCAATATTCCAAGATAGCAGCGATCTTGCGCTAAACGCTATGGTAAAACATGCCGTTTTCTTCAAAATGGTTACATACAGTTTGTTTAATATAGTTTCATTTAAGTAGAAACCACTTTACAAAATAATGTAAACTTGACTGACTGCTTCACTTTCGCTTTAAAGCACACGAAGCAGTTTGGAATATTGTTTTTGTTTAAACTTTAAGGATTAGAGATTTGAATCTTAAATAAGTGGTCCACCAAAAGAGTTAGTTTTCCAAAAAAAAAAAAGAAATTCTGTTATTATTACTCGCCCTCATGTTGTTCCAAACCCCAAGATCCCAAAATTTAATAACAGTTTCTTGACAGACGTTTTGATCTATTGTACCTGACGTTTGGTGAGCAGCTGAGCATCATGTCCATTCCCGTGTCCATCATGTCACAGTCCCCCAGATTCAGATAAACCTTTTCTCCTGATTGATTAATCACATAAGCCAAAGCACAACGCTGATGAGGATCAAGATCCACCTCAAGTTCAATCTGATGGTTCATCTTCTCCAGGAACATTAAACAAGCTTCAGGAGACTGGAGCTCATACAAGCACTGACACACATAGAGAAGATCAAACTGTTCACTGTCACTCTGAGGCTGGAGGAAACTGTTCAGAAACTTCTCAATGAACCAGTCTCGCGTTTCCTTCATCTGATCCTCTGGGAAGAGACTCTTGAGTAGTCTGGTGTTGTGTTCGCTCAGAAGTCCACATAAGAAAGGGAGCACGTGTCTCATGTGTTTGTACTCCTTTGTCTGACTGTGCTGTAGGACATCCTCAATCTTTTCTGGATTTCCAAGAAGACACAAAGCTGAGAAGAACTCCTGCATTGTGTTGTGGAGAAATGCACAGTATGTCACTGCAGATGTTGGTGAATCTTTTACTGTGATCATTTTCAGAAAAGCATGACAAATGTCCGTCTCATCACTGGAAATATCTTGAAGGTTTAGGCTCCTCTGCATAGTAGCACTGAATGCATTTTTCATCAAGAGACAAATCTGATCTTTAATCTCTTTCAGGTAGCCATCAATTTGCTGAATATTTTTCTTTCCATGTTTCTTCACAGCAACACGTAAAATGTGAATGTACATCTCTGTGACTGTGTGTGAATGGTGAAAAACTCGGTCAGTTTTAAACTGAATCAAGTCGACAATCATAAATGCGTATACTGGAACGTGGCTAAGACTGAAGAGCTCTTGATTCTTTAAAACTAGATCTAGAAGAACTGGATCATGACCCAACCTATTCTTGTAGTAAATTCTGATTGATTCTTTACTGAATCCTTGGACATACACTTTCTGAGTTGGCCAATTTGAGAAAAGGGGATCATCTTCCACCTCTGATCTGCAAGTGATCACAATCTTAGCATCGGGCAGGAGCTCTTGCTGCATGATCTTCCATAAGATGGAATTTTCATTCAATTCTGTCACACCATCGAATACAATGACAACATTCTCAGAGTTTTCCTCGATATCTTCAAACACTTCCTTTCTATCTTTTTCTATGGGCTTCAAATACACATCAAATAAAACTGATTCCAAACTGCCAATGTTAGAACTGTGGGCCAAAGAATTTTCACCAAAGTAAAACATGTAGTCCAGACCTTTGTCACTCTTCTCTGCCCACAGACGCAACATTTCCTGGACAACTGTGGTCTTTCCTATCCCTGGTTTGCCTACAAGGAGGATTTTCTTTTCTTGACCTTTCAGAAGATCCAGAGGTGATGGTGAATGCTTCTCTTTAGGAATGTAAGCTCTCAGCTTTTTGTTTCGCAGTTTTTTGCCTTTCTTGTTTTTACATTTTATTTTGTTTTGTGGAGTTTGTGCCACACAGTCCGTTTCTAGAACAAGAGGTATAAACTGGAAGTTCACTTGTTCTTTTTCCAGATATTTGCGGCAACCTTTTCTTTGGTCTTTCAGGATATTTTTTGCTTTCTCTCTGAGCCGTGTTTGGTAGTTCTGACAGGGCTTTGTACCTAAAATAAAAACCGATGCTATTTTTCAAGAACGCTTATTTGTATTTTTACTTAAATTATTTAATTTATCCACTCACCAAATGTATAGCTGGTCTCTCCATCTTCCACTCTAAAGGGAAAACAGCTGATCCAGTGGTGTAAATCAGAAGATAAAGTCCTCTTCTGAGTGACATCCAGAATGCTGAGTAATTGATAACTTGCTTCTTCCCCTTTGTTAACAACCCAGTCCAATATACTTCTTGCTTTATCAAACTCTGTCCTCTCTGCTTTAAGAGCATCAACTTCATGTTCACTGAAAACATTTTGCTGATAAAGATTCTCAACGATCAGAGGAAGGTTTCTCATTTTCGTCACCAGCTTTACTCTGTAAATTTTGATGTATTGAATTGCAGACTGGTTTGCACAGGCCATGCTGACGGCATTTCAGTCCTGTACATCAAATAATAAAATAAAAAATTAGACAAAATCACATAAAATAGACAAAAAGAAATGAATGATCTATAAAATCATTAAAATGCAAGAGAAAACACATGCGACTTTCAACAACATTTAAACAAACTAAGCATTACAGATGACTTCTCAAAATGCAGGTTGTTCCATATCCATAGACTAGTCAATCGGCATTGGACGATAACCGGTTTCAATGTTTATTGTGGTTTTGAAAAGTCAATGGTTTTCAAAAATGTCATGCTTTCTACTCTACAAGTAGTGACGCTACTAGCTTAACTACATTTCTCAGTAGCGTGGCTGTAGCATTGCTACTCTCTAAATCAAATAGCTTTCAGTAGCGAAGCTATTTTATTAGTCAAGTAGCGCAGTAGAGTCCACACACGCTACATTTATCGATCGCAGATCAATAAGTGATGGCACTCAATAAGTGAGAGCTGTGAGGCCAGTGTCTAGTTGATGAAAGTAAATTCATATGATGGCGAGAATGACGATTTCTTCTTCTTCCGGTAAAATTGTGGCTTTATACTTCTGCGTCAGGTGACCAGTGTAACCCACGGCGCATGCAACGCGCGTGGCTGTGCATTTATACTTCTGCGCGCTGTCTCTGTCGGCGAAGGGCTATGCGTCAGCGCCGTAGCATACGCCGGCGTTTGACGCAGAAGTATAAATCAGCCTTAATTAGAAGGTTTGTCCTTATTCCTAAGCGGAATTTTATTTTAGACAGCATGTTTGCCATACACAGGTTTACATTTTAGAGACAAATTTACAGCAGGTATACCGTAGTACGGAACCCCAGAAGGGACGTAGTGGAGAAGAAAAAAATTGGCTGGGTGGAAAAAAAAATAATTGGTGAAAGAAAAAAATGGGTGGGAGAAAAAATTGCATTATCTCGCAAAGATGTTTTGCGTTCTCTCGCAAAACTTATCCACAAACACTTCCTGTTCACTTCACTTACGTAAACCCTCCCGTTTTTGCAGAAATTCTCCCGTATTTTACCATATCCCACTTTCTTTACATTACTGTGCATCGATCGTCGCCTTTCATACCTCTGAAAATGCATGTATAAGCGCTGACTGACAGACGCCCTCCATACAATAAACTGATGCCAGATCAGCGTCTGTACACGCCATTTACAGAGGAGCGGGTGTATGTTTAAACAGACAAATACACTGAATAATATGTGTAACCCTTTTTCCTTTTACCTCTGGACTCCAGATAAAAAGAACCTGATAAAAGGGCCTGAGTTCACAAGATTTCTTTTAATATATCCACTAATCGTCTGACAAACCTGAACACGTTTAACTTAGATTAATATTAGTTATGTACTGCACTCACTAATCACTCAAATACCAACAAGAGACAAAATAAGGACCCAAAACCACAATGATTAACTATAAAAGTGTATTCAAGGTATTTTCAATAAATAAAAAACAATATCAATCAATTATGTAGAAAAATAAAATAAAAATGTATTATTCACTTAAAATAGGTTTCAATTCTATGCTCAGATGCAGCACAGAAAGACAAAATCACATAAGGAATACAAAAATACTCAAAATATGACAATAAACCAATGCGTTTCTCCTATTATTAAACTAAACACAGTAATTTGTATATGCTTGTTCCCTTATGCTATTATAAATTAAAATCTCTTCCTAAAGCTATCTCTGTATGTATCCAAGAGTAAATATGCTACTCTAAAACAAAAACCCGAAATAAACAATAGATTATAACTCTCCCGTAAAGCTGACTTTAACAATATAAATGAACTACTGTTATGACAGAGAATTTGAAAGAAAAACCTTTTAACAAGTCACTATACACACACACACACACACACACTAATCCCACCCCGTTGCAGGCCTGATGTGCAGCTTGAGTTCGTTGTGGCCCAGAAACAAACAAATGGCACCTTCGCTCAACCGAGCAAACAAAATAAAGGTACCTTACTTATCAGATGACAAAAGGTGTGCTTCCTTTCACCGTGATGCTTCCAGCAAGTTCGTTCTTCACGTCAGTTTTCAGTTCGTAAGGGTTTCGAACTAATTTTAGTGATTAAAGTCCTGTGAAGAACTTTCCATATGCAAAGGACAACTTAAACTGTTTCTCACTTAACGTTACTGCACAAATCAGATCTTCTTTCCGTTTCTTTTTAGCAACGTGTGTGCACAGCTAAACACACTAAATATAAACTTAAAGGGAATATAACAGACTTTATGGTCTAAAATCTACAAACTTCCCGATCTCTCACGCACTGCGTGTGACTTTTTTCCCTCTCTCTCCCGATTCTTTTTTTCTCCCGCCCCTTTTTACTCCCAATTGGAGGAGCAAAAACACACTCTCTAACCCAATCAGATAACAGCATCTCCCCACATAGCATTTGTTATGCTAGACCTGTGTCATCTCAACCAAGCTTGCTGAATACATTTCACATTTTAGGTGCTTTATTGGCATGACAAATAGCTGTACATTCGTATTGCCAAAGCAGTGCAGCGTCGCTGCGTACAGACAAGACAGTGCAAAAAGGGCAGTAGTGCAAACAAATATAAACATAAAATATAATATAGAAATAAAGAAAAGAAATGTAAAAAAAATAAAAATAGATTAATAAAAATAACAATATATCAGTAAAACTAAAAATATTAATAAAAATAAAAATAGATTAATGGTAATTTGTGAAACAGGATAAAAGTGGTGACAATAATATCAACAGTAAGTCCACGAGTAAAGAGTTCCTGTGTTGTGTGTTGGAGACAGTGGAGCGGATCATTGTGGGTTCCTCAGACGGTGGCAGGAGTGCACAAACTGAGCTGCTAACACACAGCAGCACACACACTCCCCCAGTAGGATGGGCAGTTTCTCATTGTTTGACAGGGACTCAAAGTTTTTGTGTGTGTGTGTGAGTTTTGGGTAGAACTTCTCCAGGATCTCTGAGCACTCCGCAAGGAAGTGCAGTTCTGTTTCAATCGGCTGCTGAGGGCAGTGTGGGCAAAGCCGCTCCTCCACCGGCAGCCATGTTTGTCTGTGCCGGCCCGTCTCTATAGCCAGCTGGTGTCCGCTGAGTCTGTATCTGCTCAGGGTGTTCCTCAGACCTTTATCTGTCACTGTGTGAAGGTAGTCTGCCAGAGTATATTGTCTCTTCAGGGCCAGACAACACTGCATTTTGCTTTGCAGTTGTGTTTGAGTGTCCCAGTGGTGTGTGTAGCTGTTCTTGATCTGGTGTGTGATCTGAGTCAGTGGCAGGAGTGTGTTCAGCTCCTCAGGAGACGTCTCAGAGACCCTGAAGCTCTGGGCCAGCTGGGAGAGTGGGTCTGCTCTTCTGCTCAGTTCTCTGTCCTGCAGGGCTTTATAGTGGTATGAGTCCGGGTCGCTGAGTTTTAAGTGCTTCCAGAATTTGACAGCTCTTTTCTGTATCTTTATTATCAGAGGGTATTTGCCTAATTCTGCTCTGCATCCGTTGTTTGTTGTGTGCCGGTGGACGTGTAGGATGTTCTTACACAGCTCTGTGTGCAGGGTTTCTATAGGGTGTTTGTCCCATTTGGCCAGATCTTGTTCAGGGTTTGTCAGTGGGCCCCACACCTCACTGCCGTAGAGGGCGATGGGGCTCGATGACGGACTCTAGGATCTTCAGCCAGATCTGAATAGGGATGTCTATGGGGCATTGACGTTTGATGGCGTAGAAGGCTCTACGGGCTTTATCTCTCAGCTCATTCACTGCAGGATTAAAGTTTCCAGTGGAGGTGATGTTCAGGCCTAAATTATACTGTGTTGTGTGTGTTATCTGATTGGTACCTAGTGTGAATGTGTGTTGTGTTCCCTGGGCTCTGGCTCTTTTTTGGAAGGTGATGATTTTGGTTTTGATTAGGTTGACAGTCAGGGCCCAGGTCTGGCAGTACTGGTCCAGCAGCTGCAGGTTCTGCTGAAGGCCCTGTTCGGTTGGGGATAGTAGCAGCAGGTCGTCTGCGTACAGCAGGCATTTGATCTGAGAGTCATGGAGATCGAGACCCGGAGCGGTGGATCGCTCCAGACTGAGCGCCAGCTCGTTTATGTAGATGTTGAGTAGTGTTGGGCTCAGGCAGCAGCCTTGTCTCACTCCACGCTCCTGGGAAAGATATTTTGTTCTTTTTGTGCTAATTTTGATGCCACATTTGCTTTCGGTGTACATTGATTTAATAAGGTCATATGTTTTTCCTCCTATGCCACTTTCAATCAGCTTATAAAGTAAGCCTTGGTGCCAAATTGAGTTGAAAGCTTTTTTAAAGTCAATGAAGCATGCGTATATTTTACCTTTATTTTGGACAGTGTGTTTTTCAATTAGCGAGTGCAGTGTGTAAATGTGGTCAGATGTGCGGTATTTTGGTAAAAATCCAATTTGACTTCTGCTTAAGACATTATGTGTCGTGATGAAGTCCAGTAGTCGGGCATTTATTAAACTACAGAATAACTTTCCCAGGTTACTGCTTACACAAATCCCTCTGTAATTATTGGGGTCAAATTTATCTCCATTTTTAAAGATGGGTGTTATTAATCCTTGATTCCAGATATCAGGGAAGTGACCAACACTCAGAACTAGATTAAATAATTTTAGGATGGCTGATTGAAATTTAGGGCTGGTTTGTTTTATCATTTCGTTTAATATTCCGTCAGGTCCAGATGCTTTTTTAGGTTTAACAGATTTAATTTTGTCTTTAAGCTCCATTATAGTGATGGGGAAGTCTATTGGGTTTTGATTATCCTTGATAGTCGATTCTAGTGTTGCCAGTGTTTTTGTTATTTGATTTTGTTTAGGATTTGTGTCTGTTTCTACTTTATTGAATAGTGTTTGGAAATGGGTCTCCCATATTTCTGAATTCTGGATCGGTAGCTCTTCATGATCGTTTTTGATCAAGTTTTTCCAGTTGTCCCAGAATTGATTTGAGTTAATGGAGTTCTCTATTGTTGTCAGTTGTTTTTGGGTGTATTGTGCCTTTTTGGTTCTGAGTGTTTGTTTGTATTGTTTTAGTGTTTCACAATAGAGAAGCTGAATCTCTGCATTATTTGGGTCTCTGTGTTTCTGATTTGACAGGTTTCTGAGGTGTTTCCTAATTGACAGACATTCTTGATCAAACCAGTTTTTGTCATTTTTGGGTGGATTATTTTGTCTGGTTTTAACTTTTAATTTTGCCTGTTTAGCTGTACTTTCGAATATATTGTTTATGTCTTTTACCGCCATATTAACTCCTTGTTTGGTGTGGGCATATGCGTTAACCAGGAAGTTATCTAGGATTTGTTGAGTTTTTGGGCTGTTTACTGCATTTTGGTAGTCTTCTGCATTGTTTTCAGCCCATCTGTATGGCTTTCTGATGTTAAATAGTTTATTGGGCTGTGTGCAAGGGTTTGTTATTGTATTTTTGAGGTATAAAGTAATTTGGCTATGGTCAGAAAGTGGGGTGAGTTCTCTAACAGTGAATGCTCTGAGAGATGAAGGGTCTATATCTGTTATCATATAGTCTACTGTGCTATTGCCAAGAGGTGAGCAGAATGTGAATCTCCCGAGTCTGTCTCCTCTTATCCGACCGTTGACAATGTACAGTCCCAGACTACTGCAGATCTGCAAGAGCTCTTTTCCACTTTTGTTGACTATATGATCGTGGTTGTTTCTGTGAAGGTTGGAGAAGCTGGTCTGTATACCTGGTAGGTTGCTGTTGATGTATTTGCTTCCCTGTGCGTTGGTGAAGTCCGGCTGTTGTCCTGTTCTGGCGTTCATGTCTCCACAGATGAGCATGTGTCCTTGGGCCTGGAAGTGGCTCGTCTCTTTCTCCAGAGTGTCAAACATGTCTTTACTGTAGTAGGGGGATTCTGATGGTGGGATGTATATGGCACATAAGAAACAGTCTTTTTGGGACGACAGTAGATCCTTGTGGATTTTGAGCCATGCGTGATATTTTCCGGTTTTTACTGTGTCGATGTATTTGTGGAGTTTTGAGTTGTACCAGATGATTTGTCCTCCTGAGTCTCTCCCTTGTCGAGTTGTGTTGAGTTTCTGTGAGGGAAGAATAATTTCCCTGTAGTTGGGTGGGCAATGTGTGGTAGTGTTTGTCTTGCTCCATGTCTCCTGGAGAATAATAATGTGAACAGGAAGTGTTTGTGGAGAAACAGTTTTGCGAGAGAACGCAAAACATCTTTGCGAGATAACGCAAAACTTTGCGAGGGAACGCAAAAAACTTAGAAATATATATTTTCCTCCCACCCATTTTTTTCTTTCACCCATTTTTTTTTTTTTCACCCAGCCAATTTTTTTTCTCCTCCACTACGTCCCTTCCGGGGTTCCGTAGTATCTTGATGCACTCTCTACATTTTAAATGACTTGAGATATATATAGGCCTATATACATATAAAGTTATAATTATTATTATCTAAAGTTATATGTATGTATATATATATACATCTATATATATAGATCTGCTTCATGATTGGGGTGGTGGACAAGTTTGTGCAGATGTAATAATCATTTTATTTTATAATATTATTACATTACATTACTATAATAACATTACATTTTTATTGTATATGAAATATTTAATTAGCCTACGTTGAAATTTTATTTGTTGACTCACAAAAATGATAGAATACAATTTTATAAATGGTATAGTTTATAGATATGCTTCTAGATATTTATTGGGGGGCCCCAGATTTCTTGGGGACCTCACTTATTGGTTAAATCCACCACTGGTTATAAGAACTGTTTAACACATTCTGTAATGTCATAGATTTAATGCCAGCAGATTGTATTTCCTCTTTTAACTGGAGTTTACCCTTTCATGCGGTTTACTGTTACTTTCAGGGTATGTAGCTGAGGCACGATTGACTGCAAATTGTCTGAAGAAAAAGTTAACTTAAAATAACATACAATTTTACATGTGACAATGTAAACTGAACAAGCATGTATTCTTTGTACTTCACTGGACTGTCATCATGACAAAATTCTACTGCAAGTTTAATTTAAATATAATTTAATTGCCAATGAATATTTAACATAGATTGTATATAGTTAAAAAGGCCAGTTTACCAATTAAGGAATCATACAGCCCGATCATGTGCATTCTTACACTGCTTTAAGACATTTTATTAACATAATTGCCTCTATGTTAAATAGTGGTGCACTCAATGATCCATTCATAACCATGCTAATGCACATGACCAGTTTGTAGGATTTATTTTGCTTTATTAACATGAACCAGTACATAGTTTAATTTTACAACAAAATCCCTTCACATTCCTTAACATCAAAAATTAAATGAGAAAAGAAAAATT